AGCATCCTGTCACCATAAAGAACTTCAGCATCCATCAGATACTGATTGATGTGTGAGAACCAGGCTGGATACATCCAACCAGGGAATGAAATGGACATAAGCTGACAATAAAGGACAAACCCATACATGTACCCTTTAGTGAGATGCACATTGAATACAATGATGGCAAATACCATTAGAGTCATTGGTAGGATTTGAATAAGAAGAAACAGCAGCCAGCCCTTGGTCCTGTTAGAACATTCTAGACATTCGAGATAAAAGGAGTTTATGGGTACACTATAGCCTTCAGTACATTCAGAGCACAGTATGCCATTACGGGTAGAAAATTCAGAAGAAACACAATTACTCTCTGAAATTTTATTATATGGTTGACGGTATGTTGTATTGACATAGGAAGAAGGACATTCAGCAATCTGGAGCTCATTGTTAGTATCATTGCCTATATTATGAAGACAATACTGGTAGTATTTAGTAAATACAATGTCATCATAGTAACAAGGGTCATTATCACAAGAAAAGTATTTTGAAGGCACTGTACAGCCTGAATTGCCTTGCTGCTCCAGAGGCCAATTGCATTGTAAAAAGTCAACATCAAAAGAGATAGAGAGACCATCAACTGTGTCTACTCTAACACGACTACTAGTAGTGTTCCCAAAAATTTGATGACTACCAGCAACATTGAATGTACACTTATCAACAGTACCATCAAATGAAGCATTACCACTTACTATGCAGTAGCTTAGTTGATTCGTCCAATTAACCAATTTATTCTTACCATCATAAAGGTCAAGTTTAGGTAACTTTTGACCTGAATAGAGATTTATGTTTGATTTCTTTGTTCTAATTAATGAGATGCTAGACATAACATTATGTTTACATCTAATGTTATAATCAATTTCTTCTTCCTCATCTTCCATTTCTGTGGTGTCATTATCATAATTCCAGTTACTCCAACAGAAAGCATCTTTAATGTCATCTGGCTTTACAATCATTGAGTTGTGCTTAGAATACCAACATGGCTCCATTGAAGTGACAAAAACAGAATTTATCTTTCCACTAACTTTATTATTCCGAAAATTAAAGTTACTGTTCCATTTGTCTGGATGAAGAGAAGGTTTGTTTGATCTGACGAAACATTCTGAGGTTACTAAAGATGCCTGATCATCACCATTACAGCGACCAGAGTATATAGCCCCACCACCTGTGTTTGTCAGTACTTTGTTATTTATAAAATAGAAAGAAGTGTTCGAATGCACAGTGAGATAACTGCAGTCATAAAATCCCATGCCGCCTCCACCTTCATTAGCAGTGTTATTGGTAAAGGTCAAAGTGGATTTGCTCATAACAACCAAGTCTGCACTATGCAGAACAATAGGAGTATCAGTGTTATTGTCAAATTCAAAATGTCCTGATAAGTGTAGATCAAAACTGTTTGAGTATATTATACCACTGCAAGGCAGGAAGGAAGTGTTCTGTTTTGAATTCTGACAACGAGGAGTGTTACTTTCAAAAATGCAATTGTTTAATTTTGCTGTAACTTTTTTACCTGATATAGTAGCACTCGAAAATCTTTGACCATAATATAATGCTGAACCCAGGAAAGCACTGTTTTCAATGAACTGAGTACCTTCTATGATAACATGATTGATAAAAGATAGTCCAATTGATGAACACACATATAATCCACCACCAGATATCCCAGTGTTATTTTCAATGCTACAGTCGGTAATATAAACATCATTGTTTCCCCGGACACTAGTCAGATTAAGTTCATACTGTATCTTACCGCCACCTCCAGATTCATCTGTGTCCCATAAAGAATTCTGTATGAAGCAATTTTCGTTACTCCTAACGACAGAGTTGGTCATGCTAAAGTTATTAAAATTAGCATAGTCAAAATACCCAACATAAAATCCTCCTCCGTAATGAGCTTTGTTTCCATCAAATGTGCACTTGTTGATGGAGATACTATTATAATGTGCCCGGGCTTTGAAAACAACTGAGAGGCCACCGCCTTTGCCAAAGTTAAAATTTCTCCGCTCTTCATTTCTTGACTTTAAAATACTGTCAAATCCTTTGTAAGCTAAGTTACCACTGAATACTGAGTCCTTGATATCATAGTATAGATTACTTGTGTATTTATTTGATACTAATGAAATATCACTTTTTGCACAGTCGTAATCATAGTTGCCTGGGAGGCAGAATGGGAACTCTATCTGAAGTCCACCCCCACCAGGTTCATTCTTAGCCATATCATAACCATTTTTAATGAATTTGGAGGAGTCTATGATCCCATGACCATGTTAAAGTAAAACGTGAGTCCAGTACCTTTTGACTGATGCCATGTCACATCACTAATGTTAACATTAAGAGTAAATGTAATGTACATGGCAACCTTGAAGGACAAATAGCCATTTTCAGAACAGTTAATGTTCCTACTGGTACTCATCTGAAATGCTCCACATTGAAAGAGGGTAAACCCTTTGAAGAACAATGTGTTGGAATTATGAAAAGAGAGTCCTGCCCCTTCAGTGCAGTTAATGATAACATCCTCTGCAGATCCATTACCAACAATAGCAAAGTCTGAAACACCCGAAAAGTTAAAACTAGAATTCAACTGGTACTCCCCTTGACTAATGCATATTATCACTTTATGATGTTTTTCACTGTACTGTACTGCTTCAAAGGCATCATCAAGGGATGAAAAGGATCTCCTACGCCTCTTATTGACTTTTATAACATTAGTGTAATTTGAGGTGGGACAGGAAGAAGAGGAAAGAGTAGCAACTGACAAAAGAAAAAGAAGAGGTAGTATCCTACCTTCCATTATCAGAGCAAAGACCTGCATGGGTAGAAAATGTGAGCAATTATCATTATACACAGACATTATGTACTAACCTGAGGATTAAGATTCACTATTGTCTCAAACTATAGCTTAAAAGAATAATTGTGATAATATTCCCCTTTCTCTGCTCCACCTCCTATCACTAAAACTAACTATCAGGTGACCAATCAGTTTTGATAATCTAGCCTACACATGCACCAACACGTACTGTACATGTACATTTATATGAACAAAAGGGTGAGAATATAAGAGTGCCAGCACACACAAAATAATAATAATCAATAGAAACAGTGCTAATATATATATGTATGTATCCAGACATGCAGTATAGTTTAATTGATGTACACACTTTAAACAGTGGGCACCCAATATCAGTATATGAGTACGGTACATTATTGTCTTATTGAGTACGGTACATTATCTCCTAATAAATGTAGGTCAAAACTGTTTGAGTATATTATACCACTGCAAGGCAGGAAAGAGTGGGTCTGTTTCTTTTTCGCAGTCTGACATATTGGAGTGTTACTATTAAAATTGCAATAGTTCAAATTAGCTATAACATGTTTAAATGATACGGTAACACTCAAAAATCTCTGACCATAGTATAATGCCGAGCCCAGGAAAGCACTGTTTCCAATGAACTGAGTACCTTCTATAGTAACTAAACTGGGAACTGAAGGTAGTCCAATTGATGAACACACATATAATCCACCACCAGAAATCCCAGTGTTATTTTCAAAGCTACAGTCAGTAATATAAATACCATTGAATCCCAGGACATTAGTCACATTAAGTTCATATTGTATCTTACCACCACCTCCAGACTCATCTGTGTCCCATGAAGAATTTCGTATGAAGCAATTTTCGTTATTGCTAACATTAGAGTTGGTCATACTAAAGCTATTGAAATAAGCATAGTCAAAATACCCAACATAAAATCCTCCTCCGTAATGAGCTTTGTTTCCATTAAATGTACAGTTGTAAATGGAGATATTATTATCATGTGCCCAGGCTTTGAAGACAATAGAGAGACCACCACCTTTGCCAAAGTTATAATTTTTTCGCTCTTCGTTTCTTGACTTTAAAATATTCTCAAATCCTTTGTAAGCTAAGTTACCAATGAATTCTGAATCCTTGATATCATAGTGTAGATTACTTGTGTACACAGATCTATTATTTGATACCAATGCCATATCACTTTTTGCGCAATCAAAATAATAGTCACCTGGGAGGCAGAATGGGAACTCTATCTGAAGTCCACCCCCACCATGTTCATTGTTAGACATACCATGACCATTTTTAATGAATTTGGAGGAATCTATGGTCACATTGCCAGAAAAATAAAATGCGAGTCCAGTACCTTTTGATTGATGCCAAGTCACATCATTAATGCTAACATTACGAGTAAGTGTAATATACATGGCAACCTTGAAGGGTAAGTAGTCTTTCTGCCAGAAAACGTTTTTACTGGTACTCATTTGAGATGCTCCACATTGAAAGAGGGTAAACCCTTCGAAGAACAATGTGTCGGAATTATAAAAAGAGAGTCCTGCCCCTTCAGTGCAGCTTATGGTAACATCCTCTGCAGATCCATTACCAACAATAGCAAAGTCTGAAACACCTGAAAAGTTATAACTAGAACTCAACTGGTGCTTTCCTTGACTAATGCATATTATCACTTTATGACGTGTTTCATTGTTCAGCACTGCTTCAAAGGCCTGGTCAAGGGATGAATAGCAACTCTCATGATCTGAAGAACCTAATCCATTACACCTCTTGTTGACACTTATAACATTAGTGTAATATGAGGTGGGACAGGAAGGAGAGGAAAGAGTAGCAATTGACAAGAGAAAGAGAAGAGGTAGTATCCTACCCTCCATTATCAGAGCAAAGACCTGCATGGGTAGAAAATGTGAGCAATTATCATCATGCACAGACATTATGTACTAACCTGAGGATTAAGATTCGTTATTGTCTCAAGCAATAGGTTAAAAGAATAATTGTGATAATACTCTCCTTTCTCTCCTCCACCTCCTATCACTAAAACTAACTATCAGGTGACCAATCAGTTTTGATAATCTAGCCTACACATACACCAACACGTACTGTACATGTACATTTATATGAACAAAAGGGTGAGAATATAAGAGTGCCAGCACACACAAAATAATAATAATAATAATCAATAGAAACAGTACAAATATATATATGTATGTATCCAGACATGCAGTATAGTTTAATTGATGTACACACTTTAAACAGTGGGCACCCAATATCAGTATATGAGTACAGTACATTAATCAAGGTAGCGTATCTGTATATCTTTAAAAAGAGCTTGTCCAGCCTCAATGGGTGCCCCTAGAGTACTTGCTTCAGGCGATTCCTCCAGCTCTACTTGACTGATACCCAACTGGAGCAAAGACTCAACAGGCTGTGATAAATACTGACATAGGGAAGTGAAAGATGGACGGTCAGGAGGGCTGGGGTGCCTATGGTAAAGATACAATGAGGACAATACAGATACATATTATGCATACCAGCAGTCCATCATTAGTTGGTAAAACGAGCGGGGACAGCCAGGTGGAGGAGCAAGCCTCTCACCTTCATCAATTTTCTCAATATACTAGGAAGAAGAAACAGAGTCAAAATTATGCTGCATCAATGCAACTCATACTTTTTCATTTGTTAGTGATGAGAACGGCTTCCTTCCTAGACTCCATATCTCAAACAGAAGCACACCATAACTCCACACGTCACTAGCAGTCGAGTACTTCCTGTAAAATATTGCCTACAATTCATGCATCAATAATACTTATGCTGCACCAACAACCCTATAGTACCTCTAGTGCTGTCCATTTTATTGGTACAAGACCTCCTTGAGATATATAGTACTCGTTTTCTTGAAGGTCACGGGACAAACCAAAATCAGCAACCTACACGAGCATAAATGAGGTGAACATCAAACTGACCCAAAAAGTGACAAAATGCATCAAGGAATTGCCATGTTTTTCTAATATTCCCATAGCTAAATAGATAGTTATCAGAATTGGCTAAAACTTGCATGAAGGCATGATACAATTACTGATACAAGAAAATTACTACAACAAAAATACTATAGGAATAAAAAAGTACTGATTGGAATCAGCTCAAACTTTCTACACAACATAAGTATGAGTATATGTATCAGAAAAATTATAAAAATGGAGATTTCCCTCCTAGTTATTTTTAACAAAATTTGGCTGAAATCCCTGTACTATAGTACAGGGACTTTGGTCCAATTTTTGAGTAAATTAAAAAATTCATAAAAAATTCAATTTTGATTGGAATCAGTTTAAACTTTCTACACAACATAAGAACATGTATATGCATCAAAAAAAATTATAAAAATGGAGAATTCTCTCCTAGTCATTTTTGGCAAAATTTGGCCAAAATCCCTGTACTATAGTACAGGGACTTTGGTCCGATTTTTGAGTAAATTAAAAAATTCGTAAAAAATTCAATTTTGATTGGAATCAGCTCAAACTTTCTACACAACATGAGAACATGTATATGCATCAGAAAATATTATAAAAATGGAGAATTCTCTCTTTTTAATTTTTGGCAAAATTTGCTTTGGCCAGATTTAGGAGCAGCTTAAAAATCCATTATTGATCAGAATCAGCTCAAACTTTTTATGGTCATTTTCTAATGCATAATACATTATGGAAGCATTTACAATAAATAATACTACCATAAATGTATTCTTGACAATTACTCATTTCTCACTTTGCAAATCAGTTGTTCTGATACTAGTATATTCCTAGCAGCGAGGTCTCTGTGTATAAAAGTCTTCTTTGCTAGATAGTCCATTCCGGAAGCAATCTGCTTACAGAAGTTGCACAATAGATTAGGAAGCTCTTCAGGGACCACACAGCCTCTACTATTAATCATATTAAACACTAAAAGTACTGAGTTGTTTAATTACACTGGTCGTTTTGATGTTAGGAACTTCTTTAAGTTTCCGTTTCCCAATAACTCAAGCACAATAATAACCTAATGATAATCTAATAAATTTAATTAAGAATTAATTTATAGAGTACCGGTTCTCCAACAGTGACGACACCCAAGAGCCGTACAACATTAAGATGATGAAACTGCCCATTTATTGCTGCTTCTTGTAAAAATTTAACCTTTTCTTGCTCGGAGGAGCCTGCTTTGAGCATTTTAACAGCCACAGACACATCCCCACCACCAGTTATCCACTGAGCTTTATTGACAGTCGCAAACTGCCCAGAACCTAAATACTTTGTTATTCTAAAAAAGCATAGTGAAATTGTAAGATCATCTTTTAGCGTCTTTAAATGTTCTTTTTTTCTTACTGTATTGCATGTCTTGGTATTTCCCTGTATCTCTTGCTGGCTAGTTGTCTGTATATTGCTGTAGTTGTTTTCTGCGGCTTCCAATACTCACTCGACTCTTGAAAGAACTTATTCTCATCTTTACTCTCACCTCCATCATCTTTAACATTTTGAACCTAAAGGAGGGTAACTGAAACCATATATGCTACGTCCTTTTGCATTATAATGATATAACTGTATTTATTATTTTTAAAGTAACATACATCGTAGAGTGATTTATACAACTTGTCGTCAAATTCATAGCCAACTGAACCATTGAATAACTTTGATCTCTGTTCCTGAGAAAAAAAACATGTAAATAGTATAATCATAATCATAAACAATGACTACTGCTAACTTCATTAGGAACATAAATGCAGTCATTAGGATTAACAAATGAACTCGAGGCTGCATCACAAAGAATGGGCTAAACAAAAAGCATATTAGCAATTATGAATGTTAAGCTCTCTCTCTCTCTTTCTCTCTCTCTCTCCTCACCTTTTCATAAGGTGATCCGACCATTGCTGGACTGGTGGGTGGATTTCTCTCTGCAGGAATAGCCAGAGTAGAGGGTGGAGAAGGAAGAGGGAGAGAAGGAGGAGGAGGACGAGAGAGACTGTACTGAGAAGAAATAGTAAGAGGAGACACATGAGAAACTGGAGGAACACGAGGAGGACCTTGAGGGGTACGAGGAGAAGGAGGCGGAGGAGAGAAGTTTGGTGGAGGAGGAGGAGGAGGAGGAGGTGAAGGAGGGGGAGAGGGAGGTGCTATTGGAGGAATAATACGAGGACATACAACAATTTGTGGATGAGTAGAAACACTCTGGGATGAATGATTTGAATCCAAAGAGCTGGTCTGTGATGAACTAGCAAGTGGAATGATTGTTGCGGATATGGCCCTTGTTGTCTTTGCTAGATTAGTACCTTCATAGAGTGGACTGGATACGCATTTCCTTATGTATCTATTAGGAGTGCCTACAAGAGGAGGAGGAGGAGGTGAGAAAATGAAGAAAGAATGTACATGTGTACATGTACGTACAAACAAAGCAGATATAAAATATCATTGGAATTTAATACATGCATGTTGAATTGATAGTTTGAAAACATCATTGAAATGTTAATACTCTGAAATGTCAATCAAAAGCTAATGACATCATACACAAATTAGACATGAATTCCTGCCAAGTTATAAGCAAAGAAAAAAAACAAAATATTACACACACAAATCTTGTTATTCATATATCATATCACAGTAATAATTACTCCATATGATACATACTACACAATATTCTATAAGTAATAGTACATTACTAACATATTCTATAAATAGTACAATATGAATAGTATTAAGATATTCCTTATATAGTATATGTACAATACTTATTCTAAAATAATTCCTTTATTATTATTAGAGTATTACTAACATGTTCTATATGCTGCTCCAAAGTTACTGGTCGAAGCTAACGATCTTCGTTTGGCCAACCAGACAATAACAAACAATAGACCAATACAGAGACCTATGAGGACACCAACCACACCCACAGCAGAACCAATAATAATAGGCAAGAGAGAACCAGAACGGCCGTGACTAGACCCAGCACTAGTAGTAGAAATAACAGGAGATGAGGAGGAGGGGGGAGGAGTGGTATGTGGGGATGATTGTGTGAGTGTAACATGGTGATTATAAGTGTTTGTATTGTCTGGTCTATTTGATGAGGTCCTCGTAAACGGATCAGTTCTCACGTCTTCAATGGTTTTAGACACACCAGCGTCTGGAGTGTCTCTTTTGGTCATTGTCGTTTGACTGGTTGTCCAGGATACATGGCTATGTGTTGGCTGGTTGGTTGTTGCTCTTGTGAGAGACGAGATTGTGGGAGGAAGAGAGGAAGAGGGGGAAGGAGAGGGAGAAGGAGAATGAGTAGAGGAAGAGAGAGAGGAGGAAGAAGAGGAAGAGGGAGAAGAAGTAGAGGAAGAGAGAGAGGAGGAAGAAGAGGGAGAAGGAGTAGAGGAAGAGAGAGAGGAGGAAGAGAGAGAGGAGGAAGAAGAGGGAGAAGGAGTAGATGAAGGAGAGAGACTAGTAGAAGATGTGGCTAGAGATGATGAAGATGGTAAGACACGAGTACTACTAGTGGCTGTAGACAGTAATGTCACAGATGAGCTTAAAGGAAATGGAACTACAAAAAATAAAATAAATTATCCCGATAAACTTGCTATACTCACGACTTACCCACTACAGCTGCTACAACAGGCACTCCGTGTTTGGTTTTAACATCGTTATTATTAGTCGTCTCTATATAGTTCATAGGATTGTCAGTCTTTTCAAGAGTCCAGTACTGATACTCATCCGATACATCATCGTAAATATAAATCTCAATAGAACTCTTTCTCTTGTCAGGATGATGAAGACCCAGCCTGTCCCCTGTCATTACATGAAAAGGTGTCCCTAGATTATATGTGTACACTCCACTTGTCTGAGCACTTGCTACTTGCACGATGGTCTCAAAAACCTTACTAAAGCTACCAGCAGGAGAGGCTTGAGGCCGCCATATTTGTAAAGCAGGATGAAAAGGTTTATCTGCTCGGTTGAATTTAGCAGCGAATACCCACTGGGTGAGATTGCCCGAGCAATTGAACCAGTTTAAAGGAAAGAGCATCTGCTGTTTACTTTTGGTGACCATGTGTGCAGGATTCTTCTTCTTCATTAGACCAGAAGGCCCTCCATCGTTGCCACCAGCACCAGTCGTGAGAGAAATAATTGTCTCCTTTGATAAGAAATTGACAGTACAATTTGAACCTTGAGAGAGAGAAAAATAAAAGAGAGGAATAGCAAGGAATAAATTAATATTCAAAAAGATTCTGCATAACTTGAGTGGACATACCTTCACTTAAGACTATCAGTAAGCATTGAAGCAGACTCAGGAACAAACACCAACTGATGCCCATCACAATACACACACAGAGACAGGAGATAAAGAAATGAAGGGAGAGATAGAGAGAGTACACAATATCTCATTAAGAACTTGAGCTTATATACACAAGGTAGGTGGAGAGAAAAGAGCACAGGTAATGTACATACACACACTGTAATAGTAAGACTAAACAAATGTAAAGTCATCATTGTATATGGATAATCTTTAAACATGATTTGAATTAATATATCTTCTTAAATAATAATAATCATAATAGTTATAATAATAATAATGATAATAATTTTAGAGAGGTAATTAAAAATCTCATGAAATGAGAGGTCTCATTAACAATAAAATAATAATTTTTAATAGAAAAAAAGAGAAAGTTTCTTTTGATAAAAGCAGTATCTGTCGTCAGATAATGATATTCATGAGGCAATAATAATAATAATAATAATAATAATAATAATAATAATAATAGTTTTTGCTGTATGTAGTCATTACACAATGGAAAATGATACGCCCACACAAGTAAGTAAACACAACACATGCAAGACGAGAAGAGAAAATGATGAGAAGAAAAGAGACAAGAAACAGACAGTAAGTCAAGTTAAATTAAAATAATAAATTAATTAATTCACAGTATGCAATATCCTCTTCGGCTCATCAGAATATTCATTACCTCCACCACCTGCTCCGCTCATATCAGAACTCATCTTCTTTCTCAAACCCTCTTTATTCGAACTCCCTCCCATACCATTGTAACTGTTATCAGACACGTTCCCTTTTGACGGGGTCGACCGATCTCCTTTATTACTTGGACGTCCTCCTTGCGGTAACTCGGAGGAGCTCCGGTTTTTCCCTCCTCCCCCCGAGGGAGGCGGGGACCCCCTCTTGGTTTTTGGCATGGTACCGGTGCTGGTTCTGGGAGTGCTGGGGGGCAGCGTCGAGGGTTTCACAGTGATTATGAGGTTCTGAGAGTTGGCGACCATCATGTCGGTCACTTGGTCTAGACTCTTTCCCAAAGTCTCTATCCCGTTAACTTCAATTATCTCATCGTTGACTGATAATAGGCCAGTGCCCTCTGCAAGCCCCCCTGGGACCAGCCGAGATATGAATATTCCAGGAACCTTTTCCAAACCGTAGGGGGTCACCCGAACACTGGTGCCGTCCCTTATATAGAATCCAAGTGGGCGGTCGGTTGATTGCTTGACAAGTTTCACTCTCCTCACTGTGTCTGGAAGAAGGTCAGCATCCACTATGGAACTGACTTTACGAAACTCTTTAGGTGCTCCGATTACTGTCGAACTGTTGACGCTCTCGCTAAAGAGACTCTTGCTCTTTTTCTTCTTCTCTTGTAGTTTAATCTCAGCATCCATTAGCTCTGAAAGAGAGAGAGAGAGAGAGGGTGGGCGGGGGAAATTTTAAACTTTTTACGTAAAGAAAATTTTAGAATATGCACAATATGAATAACTTCCTACTCATAAAACAACAAACTTGTGAATGCATACACAAAAGCACACGTATATGTATATTATATACAATGTAAAATATTATGATATTATATATAATGTAAAATTAACATTTGGTACATGTACATGTAAAAATGTGTATCCCTAAGACTAGTACAAATATACAAAACATATATCACATTCATTATTAGCAAACATGAAAATTTATAAATTAAGTGCCATGCTAGTCATCACTTCTCTATATCTCCATTAATCATCATGTTCATTACCTCTTTCTCTGTATATGAATAGTTTAATGAATGGCATGGCTGTTTGAAAAGCTGAATTCATGTTCTTGTCATTATTAATGGGAAGGATGTCATCATTCTTCGGATTCGTGTAAGACACAGTAAACGGCATGTCAGTTGGAAGATTGTGAGATTCTTTAATTAAAGCACTGAGCTCATCATACTGGGTTAACTGCGTCCTGTCAATGCTGAACCTACGATACTCGTACTCAAACTGTAAGAGAAGAGAGGAGAAAAGAGTATGATATACATTAAATAAAGTAAAATATCTTGTTTACTCTATTTATTTATAGTTATGCATTGTTATATTCCATAATAGATAGTAAGGAAGTGAATACACTACTTGTAATTGTCAAATATCTGTTGTACCAATGCAGGAAGAATAACTAAGCCATACATGTCATACTACAGACTACAAGTTATTTCCTCCATATCCCTCTCCCCCTCTCTCCCCCTCCTCTCCCCCCTCTCTCTCTCCCCCTCTTTCTCTCCCTCTCTTCCCCCCCTCTCTCTTCTCCTCCCCCTTGCTAGTGGTGATTAAAGTGCTAAATGATAATTCAATGTACATGTATTTACAGGTACAAGCTGGACAATAGCAAGATAAACCGTTACATTTGTCAATGCAATAATAAAGACACTCGTACCTGTACACACATACAATGTGCATGTGTACAGGAATTGATTATAATGTTATGCCTGTCTGGATTTTGTGTGTCCATGTTTATGATTGAGAGTAGAGTGCCAGGTGAGAGTGTGTTGGTATAGTATTTCCATTTAATGTACCGTCTGGGAATTAACATTAATTAACATGTTGACATGTTGTCAAGTTTTTACTATGCTTTAAATCAATCCGTTTCTCTCCCTCGCCCTTTCATCTCCTCTCTTTCAAAGAGCAAGATGAAGAGGGTGGAACTGAGAGAGAAAGGACCGAGAGAGAAAGAGTGAAACCAACAATCAAGCAACACTATACACTGTTACTATTATAGTCCTACACATAAACACTTGGCAATCCATTGCATCTGCAACAGCCAAATCACATCGCATAAATGACAGAGAAGTTATAATAATTATAGTCGCAACACCTACTGTAGCATTCACAAGACATGGTAAACCCATATAATAATACAGGATACTTAAAACTCCCTTGCATGTACAAGTATATACATGCACTTCTTATTTCCAGTATTACACTCAATAATAAGGCATGACATCACAGACTGTGACCCAATGTGATGTCAATTGAGTAGTACCTATAATTATATAATAGAGTGGATGAGGATAAATGGCTAATGCACTTTCCCATCAAAGCATTCTCTCATAACAATCAAAATAGCAACTTCCCAAAGTGAGAAATGACACACTAACAACTTTAGAAGAAAAAGAGAGAGAGAGAGAGAGCAAGGGATGTGATAGTGAGAAAAAGGAGGGAGCAAAGATAATAATAATATCCTAATAGCCAGTGTATGAGAAAAGGTCAGGTAGATATTTATACTTGTATATGTACATGCATGCAACATTTTGTAACAAAGGTAACTGTAGCTATTTCCCCATTATCAAATAATGCCATTACTGCACTGTTCTCATGGAAACTCAGACCCCACCTACAAAAATCCCAGCGGACTTACTTTCGACTTGACTTCGACTAAGTTAGGATCGTAGCCCGGTTGTCCAGGCGACCTTCTTGAGGGCGTGGCACTCATATTTTCTTTTATTAATGTGACGTCGTCCTAAAAATAATGATAATAATAAACGGTTCCCTATCCTCCGATATTTATCAAGTATATGATAGTACTGGCATGATGAAACGTACAAGTTATACATTAATTCCCATCATATTATAATCAATTATGCAAAGGGTATTTTTAATATTAAAAAAAGGACACATTGAATTTATATAAGAGACAGAGACAAACAAGAAATAGAGGGGGCAGAATGAGAGAAAAAGAGAAGTTATAAATATATAAAGAAGTGGGCTGGGAGAGGGGTTTAGACTACGCTGGTCCTTCCCTACCACAAATAAGGAAAAAGAACTAAGATTCAGTGCTTACTGGCCGCTTTTCGAAAGAAAAGAGATATCTTCCCCAAAAATTATAACAGCTATAAACGGGGTTTCTCTTCCAATGCCTGACAAGGAGGGAGAGGTGACGAGAGAAAGTAGAACTTATGTGAAGAAACTTTGTTTTGAAGTTTGTGGGAGTAAAGTGAGATAGTGAGGAGGAGGAATGCAATTAGTGGGAGAGGAGCAAGGGGCATCCTCAAACCACGTGGAACCATTAATTAATCATCACCAATGACTTTTTAACTAACCACACCTCCTGAGAAATCTATTTTTATTGTCTTTTTTTTTCTGCAACTATTATTAGAAATAAAAAGTGATCTAATTACCTGTGGAAACTACAATAAATGGGCCTTAAACTAACATAACAATAGTTTACTACAATAGAATGATGATGAGTCATTAATTGGCAAAGAATGAAGAGCTACTCATTGAGTATGCTACAAGAAAGGCTAACAGTGAGGCCAGTTGCATCAGGCTCAATAGCAACACTCTTTACTACACCGTCTTCAATTGTCATAGCATACCTACAGTAATAACAATGTGGTGTATAAAAAATTTGAGGTGAATATTCAAACAAAAAAGAGAATAATTATAGTAAAAATACATGTACAGTGTATGTAGTACTTTGCTCCAAATGTGTTGGATATTTACCTCTTTGAGCGTATATTCCCAAGGGCTGGTGTTGCATCAAAACCAAGATCAACAGCCTATTTATAAAAAATTTTAAAAAATTAAATTAGTTCTTCCACTTCTTCGTCTAACAGTAGTAATATTACCTTAGTAAATTCACCTGCAGGATCTGCCAGCATTCTTATCTGTATATAAAAAAAAATAAAAAAATTAAGAACTTTTAAAAGAATTCTGTTTTAATATAAAAAGCTCATTTTGGACCAAATTTATTATTAAAAATCTTCTAGTAATTGATGTTTCATTTAAGTCTTGTACTCTTTGATGCAGGATTCTACCAAAGCAGGCTAACTAACAAGGATGCTTCATTAGCTAACAAGCATCACAGGGCTTTCTTTTGGAGTAAATTTAATTTGATTAAAAAATTAAAAATTTAATCGGAATCAGCTTAAAAACTTGCTACACAACATAAGAACATGTATATGCATCAGGAAAAATTATAAAAACAAAAAATTCTCTCCTTGTCATTTTTGGTAAAATTTGGCCGAAATCCCTGTACTATAGTACAGGGACTTTGGCCCGATTTTTGAGTAACTTTAAAAATTCGTAAAAAATCTAATTTTGATCAGAATCAGCTCAAACTTGCTACACAACATAAAAACATGTATATGTATCAAAAAATATTATAAGAATGGAGAATTCTCTCTTAGTCATTTTTGGCAAAAATTGGCCAAAAACCCTGTACTATAGTACAGGAACTTTGGCCCATTTTTGAGTAACTTTAAAAATTTGTAAAAAATCTAACTTTGATCGGAATCAATTCAAACTTGCTACACAACATAAATTATGTATACACATCAGATAAAATAATAAAAAATTCTCTACTTGCAATTTTTGAAAATCCTGTGGGAAACCCTGCTTTGATGGTTGGCTCTCTCAGACTCTTACCTTTCCAGTGGCTTTCCTCTCAATGCCCCAAGCTGACATGACAAAAGCATCATTGACAGAAACACAAGCAATAACTTCAAAACCTTTGGCCTACAAAAAAAGAAAATTGTTGTACTAAAAAAGTGAGTTCACATTACAAATGACTTACTTTCAACTTTAAGTAATCATTCACATATCCAGGAAGATGGGTCTAGTTCAAAATTGTAAAAAATAATTATCACTTAAATTTTATCATACTTGGCTGCAGCCAGGCGTAAAGGCTCCAGGAACTGCAAAAAGTATCCCTTTCTTTCCTTTGAAAAGCTCCAAAATGTTGACTTTGTCTTTAGGCGTTCCTTCATGGAGTTCAATAGATGGAAGAGTTTGACCGACCTTGGAAAAGAGAAAAGTTCTCATAATAACTAGATTTATATCTCAAAAACTTTTAATCGGAGTCCACTCCAAACTTTTTACGTAGCATAAGGACATTAATAAGTATCAAAAAATGTAATAAAAAACAAAGTACCCATAACGAAAGATAATGTTTACTAGAGCATTCGTTTACTTTTGGTTCTATACAAAGTATGAAAGTCATCCAAACATGCTAATGAAATGGTTGCATTCCATAACTTAGCACAATTCAAGACAAAAGATAACTAAATTTTCACAATTTTTTTTTCAAAAATGGCCTTGCAACTTGCAAAATGTGTTCCCTTGAAAATCTACATGGGCATGGGATACACCGTTGCTTTTCAAGCCCAAAAAAGGTACCCAATTAATTTATAAATGAGATCAAGCAATATTGTTATGATACACAATTACACATGCGATAGCAAAATAATACTCACTATTATTTACAGTGATATCCATATAAGCAACTATGACCCAAGAGCATGCAACTATACTGCACTGCATCTGATAAATAAATCTCAAGTGCTGTTGCTATACACACAGACACATACACAATTGTTTCTTCAATGCATTACATGTTCCACACATAAAACATGTGAATAGATGCACATGTTTCTAATCAAACAATGTTCCACATGGCCGTGCATTCCAGGCCAAGGCCAACCAACCGCCCCTCTTTCTAATTTAAATTCATAATTTTTATTTTGAAATTTTTCTATGCGTGTCAAATTTTTTAAAGGCTCATTTTATTAGTAATTATTGCATAATGTAACAGCAAGATAGTCTATGCAGAGAAAAATATTTGAATACAAATGCAAGCTACAAAATATAAAAGCTACCTGTATAGGCATCTTGAGACTTGCTGTAGTCCTTAATCCTCGAGTGAAAAAGAGTAACCGGCTTGAGAAATGGCGTGAGAACATTCAGAGCTTCTTTTTTATCACGTTTCTATATGAGCCACACCCAGGAAAATCACGTGATTGTCATGTGATTTGTGTGTAGTTATAAAGCTACCCTAGTTATTAAACTACCTAGTTATAAATTTATCCCGCCTAGTTATTAAGTTTAATTTTTTGATCAAAATAATTATTTTATTGATTATTTTAAGGACACAAAAAATTATTGCAAAGTGTAAAATTATGTAGCAATAGTAGAATATGGTATTAAAAAATACAAAAATTTATGCATGTAAATCTATAATGCATTATACTTTATACTTTAACAATTACAAAAGATTTCTGCAATAGTAATTATTACGATTAAGATGCGTGCACAATGTAAAAGGTAGGAAGTGAAAATTATGCCCACGAAAGTCAATTAATCTAAGCAAAAACTGATCCCTGCTCAGTTTCATCTTCATCTTGTCACTCCTTATTCCTGCAGAGGTCTGACAGCCATCACGACTGACTTGAGTGAATTTCTATCTCCAGAAAATGACTCCCATACGATTCCTTGATCTGCTTCTCCCTCTGCCTTTGCTCTCCATACTCCAGCAAGATTGGACTCAAGGCAGTTAGTGAACCACCAGCCACTCTTGAACTTCTGAGCACAGGACTCCCTGTCCTTGTCATTATCACGGTCTGGTGTGGAGAATGGTGCAGAGTTGTGAGCTTTAAGTGAATCCCCTGCTGTACTGCTTTCCTGGTACTCTGAGACAGTTAGCTGATAGAGGGATTGTGCATCTCCTACTCTGAAGTTTTTGTAGTGTGCGAAAGAGGAGGTAGCAATGTGCCTAAAATGAGGAAGGTTTGGGAGATCGTGCTTCAAAAGACCGACCCAAAGTTCGAACTTTCCAATATTAGGGTCGGTAAGTGCGTTGATGTTCTCCAGCCCGAGGAAGTAGTTCCCATTTAGGAGGTTCCCAAAGCCGGTTCTGTACTCACTCCAATCACGGTTGAAGTTGACGGATCCATCTGTACGTCTGAGGATGACGGTCCATCCACCTTCCTGAAGGTCCATGTCGCAGAAAACCTTGTATGTACGTGCATTGCTCGACTGGACTTCGTATATCCCAGAAACTGCATTGGGATCATTCTCTTGTATTGCTTTGCAATTCTTAGGTGGGACAACTATAGGAGAAAGAAAAAAATCATTAATAAGTTAGGACTAATAATTTTATGCAACAAGTGATAGATTTTAAGGCTCTTTCCCAAGCCTCGAATCCATGCAGCTACTTACCAAGTTCGTTGTGTACTACTCCTTCTGAAACTGTGAAGTTGCCCAGAACAGCTACTCGCTGCTTCTCTTTATTGCTAAGAGGAGCACCAAAGACCACGGCAAAAAGAGCTGCAAGAATGAAAAGTGAAGTGTTCATGATACTATTGTAGCTTGTAGAGGCGATTGTTAAGAGAGAAGATTGATTTGTCCCTGGATCCTGCCAGATATTTTTGCTATCTTACAATTTGCAGTTGTTGCTTTCTCTGGCCCAGTTCTTGTTCTTTTATACCCTCCAGCTCGCCGTTATTGGTTTCAAATGCGTGGGAGAATTGCGACCACAAAAATTTGTGTGTATGGTTGCGTGGGCGTTCCATTAAAAAAAATGGCCACTCTTTCTCTATCTTCTGTCAGGGATATGGAGTCTGCACGGCGTTTATACGAAGACATTGAAAAAGAAGAGGTACAATATGACCTTATCTTTACCCTTCACTTATACGATACGTTTATCACAGGCTAAACTAGAGGGAGAGTTAGATAAACTTCTAGAGCAACAGACACAGATGGACATACAGATATCCTCTTTCAACCAAATAATGTAATAGCATCTATAATTATATTTTACAACCAGTGTATGGTGCAGCATGGGTGCAGTGTGTAGAAATTTTACTTTTATTAATTAGAAGCCACACCCTTTTAAATTAGTTGTTAATAATAGTTATTAATGATCTTAAGTTTAATTAACACTGTTATTATTGCATATTTATTTATTTTGTAGTCCTAATTTAGAGAGTCTTCAGTCAAGCTCTCAATTGTTATCTGGTTCAATTAGTAAAGCTAGCTCACTAGCTAACACTATCAGTCACAAAGTCCACTCACTAGACACTGCAAAGGTAAAAAGTAAAATAAAGAATAAATGATTATATCAATAATAATGATAATAAATATGTGAAGTTACTGTGAAGGTATGTAATGCTTCATTCATTGATTATTATCTTAAGTACATTTTAGGAAGTAGTAAAATCCTCATTGATGCTCATTCATAACAATCATTTAAATATATATGTTAGTATTAGATCAAGGAAATGTTATTGTTACAGCAAGCGGCTATCAATATAAAAGTGTTTACAAACTTTTTTTGTATTATTATGTTTCTTTGTGATGTGTCATGGTTGCTTTTGCTATTTTCGTAAATAGTCCTTCTCATTTGTTCATCCCCTCATTTTTCAATGACATAGTTATAGATTCTGCAGCCATTATTAATGTTTATTGTATAACTGGAATGATAACAATAATATTGATGATTCGCTCGGAAGAGGTTCAAGCATGTTTAGCCCCCACAGTACGAGCATGAGGTAATCATGTGACACAAATTGACCTTACTTGTCAAATAAACCTTTACTTGCATGGTTACCGTTGATTTATATAACACATTAACTCCTACTGGCTACTCTCTTTCATCTGTACACTCCTCCTGTATCACTGTTCTTTTTCTCATTCCCTTTTCTTCTTTATCCCTCCATCCCTCTCTCTCTCTCTCTCTCTCTCTCTCTCTCTCTCTCTCTCTCTCTCTCTCTCTCTCTCTCTCTCTCTCTCTCTCTCTCCCTTTCATTAGAGGAATGTGTATTCTGCTTTAAAGAGAGTTGACGATATCATTGATTTAAAGGTAAGACACAATCTTCATTATTATTGTACCCATAATAAACCATGCAGACTAATATAATAACACTCCATTGAAGTTTTAATAAATAATAATAATAACTTGCTACATGTACATGTACGTGCATAGGTTTAAAAAGTGGTATGTGATTATTATGATAGTATGGTGTAAATATGTGTGGCCATTTACATGTCTGAATGCTTTTGCTGATATTCTTTTTCTGTACAAACCTCTTGTTAATATCATGTACTAGACTGTTGACGTAATCGGGACAGTGTAGAAGCTAGCCTGGATGAGTCAGCTAGCCCACTCCATATATATATAAATAAAGTTTATATAAGTTGTACCTTATTCATGTCATGTGACCTTCTCAATATCACACCTCCATATTCACCTTTTCTTTTTGTATATTATTTTTATATACATGTGCTTTTTGAGCTACAAAAACAAAAGAGAGAGAGAGGATAGATAAGGAGAGAGAGATATATATTCATGACTGAAGGAGTCTATATTTCATTATTTTGTTATTGTAGAGTAGCATTCTTTGATGTTGAAGTGGGAGAAATGAATATCGTGTGGATGAATGCACACCATTTCTCCCCCTACTCTTTTAATCCTCTTTACCATCACAAACACTCTGTGACTTACTGACTCTCATTCCTCTCTCTTTCTCTCTCCATTCTCACACTCCCTTCCTCTCTCTCTCTCTCCCTTTCTCCTGCCCCTCCCTTCCTTTGTTCATTTTCATTAATTCCTCTTATGTCCAAATACGTGATTTCTGTTTAGTTATGAAGCAAAACATGTGATGTTGTTGATATGTACACTAATTACTTACACCCCCTCTCCTTCTCTCCCCTTTCTCTTACATGTAATGAAGTGGGAGTTAGTGTGTACTATATTAATATGTACACATTATATATTATATTAATATAATATTACATATTACATATACATATTAATAATAATAATATGTACTGGCAAGCAATCCTGGAGGTCCTGTAGTAACACAGGACGTATCCATTTATCATGAAGCCAATTTAGTCTCTCATTTGTTAAGTTACATTTTATTGTTATAAATAAGTGGCGGGTCATATCCCTGTGTGTGAGTGTGGATGTGTATGCTTGTTTGTATACACCACACTCATTAACACTTTCTAGTAAAAGACTCAGTTTTGTCTGAGAGCATTCCTTATTTAGTTTTGAATCTTTCTTTGTTGTGGTGATATTGTTATAGCTACCTTGTTGTTATATGTTCTTATAGCCAATAGTTTTAATGGTCATTATTATGTACTCTGCTATATATACTTTCCTAATTATCTCGATCTCTTTCTCTCCCACCATCAATCCCTTTACATCCATTCATGTGGTTTGATGTGTGTTTTTTTATGTACATCTACACTTGATGTTACAATGCATTCCTGTGGCTATGAGGTATGTGTCTATGTGGACTGTGTCTATGTGGACTGTATCTATGGCAGTACAAAGAAAAGAGAGAAGGTGTCATTCCTCCATCCTATAGCATTTAGTTTACATAATGACTAACATGAGAAGAATGATTGTTGTGGTTATGGGCAATAGTTGATAATGGTGACTGCATGTTGAATTGGGTGTGTGCCATGTTCTTTATACCATGTAGTGGGCGTTGATTTGGGATATTGTTTTTGATCTTTGCATCTAACTAAAACTACAAAATGATGGGCACATAATAAATGAATTAAGGTCTGATTTTAAAAAGATAGTTTAAGATCAACAACAATTCAAAGTTACTAGTAAACAAGGTTAGCTCATGCACTCAGTTTATTATTCGTAAGGTTATTCTTGGAATTAAAGTTCATGTCATCCTTCATCCTTACATTACATGTACATGTACATGTACATTCACATTAAACTTGTGCTGTTTTACTCTGCATTCATCTCACAAACATGTAAATATTTTAGTTGGCAATGGGAACAAGCACCTGTTGTCCTATAGCGTACTCTTAAGAGTATCTTGTAGCTATTTCCTGTTGCATATTACACAGTTCATCGTCTGTTACTATATGGCTATATTGTTCTCTTTTGACGTGTGAGTAGCTCTACATTGGGTATAGTCTTTGGTGTGGCTGTGAGGGAATTTGTGTGTCTGTGTGTATCTGTGTGTCTGTGTAGGATGCAAATTCATACCATGCAAGGTTGATGATTTGTGTGTGTGTGAGGCACATGTGTTAAGATTTTCCCCATGCATTTATGCATATTTACTGCATGTGCATGTATATTATGGTACATGTATATTTATGTGTGCATGTGGGGTATGCATTGGCATGCGTTCATGTGTCACATGTGATGGAGTTGTGCATGGAAAAGCAAGTATGTATTCTAAATACTAAAATTAAGAGTTGTGTGTGTGTGTGTGTGTATGTGTGTGTGTGTGTGTGTGTGTGTGTGGAGTAGTGAGAAAGGGAAAGGAGGGTAATATTAAATGATAATGATAGTATGATAGAGAGAGACGTCATGGCGGGCATTATTTCCAGGTACTTATTAAACTTTATACTCTCACAGAGTCATGGTAGATTTAATCATTTACTATCTGTTCTGTTTTCCTCTTTCCTCCTTCATGTCTCTCTCCCGGTTGCTTGCTTGTCATTTCCTTTCAGCAATTGATTTAATATTTTATTTTGATATTCCTCCAGCAGCAGGAGTCAGTTATTTTATTTGATTAAAATGTCACAGGAACTCTTAATCCCTCTTCCCTATCCTTGCCTGTCCATTATTTCCTGTATGGTCTCTCATACTTATTAAATTAGTCTGCCCGTTAATCATTTAACTTAATACAATTACAAAGATAAAAGATACAATGTACATGTACATGATAAAGTGCTCTTACATGTAGCTTAATGGTTACAGGAAGATGCTGAAGATGCCCTGATAATGTCACAATGGATCTACATGTACATGGCCAACTCTCTACATGTATATATGCTTGCCATTTATGTGCATGTACTTGCATATATATATATATATATATATATATATATATATATATATATATATATATATATAATATACATATAATATCAAGAGTACATGATGGGTTTCATGTATTTATTAATTTGCATTTAATTTGAATATTAATGTATCTCATAATTATGCCCTAGAGCGTACAGTCCCTCTATATACAAGCAGTTCCAGTACATTGTGTTTGGTATGTCTGTGTTTGTGTTGATGCTCCTCTTTGTTATATCTAATTAATGAGCACCAGCTGCTGGCCCTGTTTGTCGTCCAATATAATTATGTGTTAATGTAAAAATATTAATTATGTTTTGTGTCTCGTGTGCCTTGAGATAATGTGATTGGGAGATATTTGTTGGATACACAGGCGTTTAATCAACCGTTCGTACTTTTAACGCCAATTTAGGTTATATGCGGATTTAGATTAACAGTCGTAAGAGCTACATGTGCTATGCAGTGGTGGTTTAATTGTTATTGGAGAATTGGGAAGCTATAGGGGAAAGATACTGAGGAAGGAAATGGTGTAGAGAGAGGACGTGGAGTGGGGAGAAAGGAAGAGGTGTATAGTATCGGGGGAGTGACTTAATGAGATTTAGAGAGAGAGAGAGAGGAGGAGGAGGAGGATATCTGTTGATACTAAAGTTGATAAAAAGGTTTGACTGTGTGTTTAGAATATTGTTATCCTTCCTTCAAAGGTATCATGAACAATGTCTGAACTGATAGCTAAGCTTGTTTGTTAAAGCCGGATAAGGCCATACAACGTGTCAACAACCTCTGTGTCTGTGTACAGCATAGTTATACCAACTATGTGAACCAAAAAAAACTTATTACTTGTTATGTTTTTAAAATAATTATTGTATTAGCAATCAGCAACTGGAATTGGCTTAGGCTTTCTACTTAGCATAAGAGTTTGTATGTATCAGAAATAAAAAGGTCTTTGGCATAATTGCATTACAGTATAGTAGTCTAAATGTACATGCATGTACATGTACAGTATACCCTCATGACAGTGCATTATCTAATAATGCCTGTAGCACATGTGATCAATGCACTATATGGTATAATGATGGTTCAGTTATGATTGGTGCAGGTCATTACATGTCAGGGTAATCACAGCCAGCTGCAACTGCCCTGAACTATGAAGTGCACTCATAAAATTATGCAACATTGTCCACATAACTACATGTAGACTGTATGTACAATGGAATATGTCTAAAGAGATAATTAATTGGCACAGGTCAGGTGCTAATTTTGAAGCTAGGGATGCGTGACTATGTTCACCTCGTCCCCTCCTCCTCCTCCTTGTTCTCTCTAAGGAGATATTACATCAACTGTAACCTGTTGCTGTTTGTTTAACTATTGAATACTCTAGAGGATTGAAGAGAGAGAGAGAGAGAGTAGGAGATCAGAGGAGAGGAAGGAAGCTCATTAACTTCATATTAGTATTAGTACTCCCATTCTTCAATTTGTGGTTTCCTGACAATAATAAATTGAATATGTACATGTACATGTACATGTATACATGTGTATTGTTTAGTTAAAGTTGGACTGTATCTTAATTATCATCATAATGGATGCTTATCATATTTGGTAATGTATGTAAGTGGATTAAATTTACATCATTACATGTTGTTTTAACAATCATTAGCACTCAAGGGCTTATGATGCATTCATAATTGGTGTATGCATGTGCATATAGTAGGAAAATGGTATTAACTCACTTCCTTTGAATGAGTGACAAACACTCTGATATCACTGGGTGTGGTACTACAATAACTGACATTAGGTATTGTATATTTAATGTTAAAAGGACAATGTGTATGCACGTATAGTATCTACGCATGACATTTAAAAATTGCTATTTCTGTACAAATTATTTGTTATTTTTGCATGTAGAACTTCTATTATTGAACTAATTATTTAATTATTCTTTTATTGCTGTAGACTTGTGTCTCTGGAGTTAAGCAAACAATGGATTCTGGGGATTTTGAATTAGTGAGTTTGATCTACTCTCTCTCTCTCTCTCCCCCCACCCTCTCTCTCTCTCTCATGATTCTCTCTTGATCTCTGTTCTACCTTTCTCTCCTTCAATTTGTCTTTTCTCATTTCCCTCTCTGTTCATTCCTCATCAGCTTGTGAAACTGTACCTTACCATACATGTACATTATACAGATGAATGAATATTTGTAACTAGTACAGGATACATTGTCTCATTATTGTGCTTCTATTCAGTTCAATCTCAGCATTACATAATAAATCATGTGTTGCCTTTATTTGATATTTTCAACTGATGCTTTCATTATTGTGTCTTCCTGTTTGGCTGCTCCTTTGTTGCTATGGTAGTCACTTCTTTACATTGCAACTTCTCTCTCTCTCTCTCTCTCTTATTTTGTGTATGCACTCTGCCTGCCAATTTTCTAATGAATTTGACCTTTTAAACATCTTACCTCCAGCCTCTTCTCCCTGTCATGCACACTCAAAACACTGTTGTATAAATACGTGTACAACTGACTGGTAATATTTATACTAAAAGCTAATGATTTTATTAGATTTTCCTGTTGTGTGGTAGCGGGTAGTTGTGACTGGATCCAGTTCCATTGGGTCCATTATTGTGTCTACCCTCTCTTCATTGATGTCATTAGTATCCTCTGTTGTCTGCCTGACGTTTGTTACTGTGTATGTATCAATGAGTCCTTGTTTGTCCAGTGTTTGTATAATGTGTGTGTGTATGCTTGTTTTCATTATCAGTCTTTTTGTGTTTGATCTTTATAGTATTAATGTACTGTCTGAATACAGGCTTAGGTCTGCATGTTTCTCCACTGAATGCTTTATTGATAGGGAGTTGAGTGGGCTGTGTGTGTGTGTGGGAATGTCTGAGCCCATAAAGCAAGCTAATGATGTGATTTTGGCATCATTACTGGGTCACTGTACGATACATTAAGGAATTGATACATTGACTGGTGGATCCCACCTTATTCCCATACTGACAACCTATAACTCCCTCACCTACCCTCCCCTGCCATACTGTGAATCAACTGGTACACAAATCAAAGTGTCCATGTACATGTGTACTCAATTCCCAGTCCTCCTCCTCTTCATTTTGGAAATGCTGAATAGCATAAGGAAGGAAGGAAGGAAGACTATAGCCATGCGTGTGTGTGTGTGTGTGTGTCATATGGGAGCTTGTGACATGTACATGTACGTGTAATGCTCCATGTAATGAGCTTCATGTTATTCTCATGAATGAGTGATGATAAGAGCATGCGAGTGTTTAGAGAAAAGCGTCAGAAGAATATAATAGTAGGATGTAGTAATGGGACTATACCAATACAAATACTTTCAGTGATTAATTAGATTTTTTATAAAAATTTTATGTTCAGAAGTTATACAGAGGGTCCAGTCCCTTTATTGTTTTTTCTATTATTATTTCAGAGTAACCTATAGCCTTGTGGTTTTCAGCATGTTTTAGTAGTACTACACGCAACTAGTGCCTTGTTTCCTGTTTTGCTTGTATCTAGAAAGTGAGTCCTTAGAGCTTATAATAGTGTGTATGGGGAACTTTAATGACATAATCAATAGTGAGTGATGCAAGGGGTTGACTCCCACCATTAGATATTAGAGGGGTAGTAGTAAAAGTAGAAACGAAACGAAACCAGAAACGGAAAGAAACCAGGACAGAAACAAAAACTAGAGAACTCCTAACATGACTAGGGGATGTTCTAAAATTTAAAAAACTAAACCCTAAATTCAACCTTGGGGACTCCTAAGCTAACTAGGGGACTCCTAACATAAGTAGGGGACTAATAATAATCAATAGTATAGTGAGTGATGCAAGGGGCTAGATTCCCACCATTAGATATTAGAGTGCCACATATCCATTCTGGCAGTACATACTCACATTGTCTTATGTGTGACTGTAATAATATGTGCCTGTTTGTTTATATACTGTAGGCTGCTAATCATATCAGGCGTTATCTTGATCTCGATGAATCAGTGTTACTGGAATCAGCAGCTGATGGTGATAGAAGTACATCTCATCTCATATTTAATGATATTTTTTATGTCCATGCATATTTTTACTGTTATTATTTCATTATTATCTCACACTGTTTGTCTGTGGTTAATTGTTTGTCCACCTTGTGTGTGTGTGTATATATAGTCTTGTTTTGCTGTTGCCATGACAGCCTGTTTGTCATTGTAAATTGTTTTGTCTACTGTCCAATATTTATATTATCATGTTTGATCTCTCCCTCTTCTTTTCTCCTCTCCCTTTTCTTTTCTCCTCTTCTTTCCAACCTGTCTCATTCCTCCATCAGCTGACACAGTAAGTGGCTCGTTTGCTCTCCTCAAAGAAGCAGAGGTTAGGCTGAGATCTATAATATGTGCTAAACTATCCGAGGCCATTGAAAGAAGAGACAAAGAGAGCATTGAAAGGTTTAAAAGATCGGAATACATTATTCGTTAAATTAATATTATGCTTCTCACTTTCTCTCTCTCACTCCTTCTCTTCCCCAGGTTTGTCAAATTGTTCCCGCTAATCAACCTCCATGAGGAAGGTGTTGACATGCTATGCGACTATCTTAATAGACAGGTACTACTTTGGGATGCATGCATGTACATAATAGTCCTAGCATGTATGCACCAGCACAAACAATAATGTATTTATATGGGAAGGTAAAGGATGCTTCACCTTTGGTGTTGATGAGAGTTTCTTTGACAAAATTTTCGGAATGTTCATTAATTGATTAAACCGATAGACGACGCTATTTTAATTTCTAAGTGTTTTGTTCAGCTGTAGCTAATAATCCTCTGTTACTATAGCCAGTAAATTAAACAAAGCATCAAAGGAATGTGAAATAATAAATAAATTTTGCCCGGCGTACTTACTTATTCATAATAATGATATTATTATTAATAGTATTATTTGGCTCCAGCAGTGGCCAGTGGCATTCGAATCATTGGCATTTGTTTATTATTTTATTTTTGTTTATTTATTTCAAAAGATCAAAGAATTCTCTATAGAAAAGCTCGAAACTTCAATTAGAGGATCATCACAAAATGTCGACACAGCAGGAGCAAAAGGTTTGGAGACATTAATTACGTTTGTGATGGCATCCTTGCTTCATTAGCCAGCGACTAGTAATTTGATGAGTGGGAGATACAAATAAAAATGGAATATTAAAACTCGTCTCTAATAATGATTGTTGACTCAGCCAAAAACCACTTAAGAAACAAATTGTATTATAAGATACAAACGCGTGTACATGTTGATTATTGATTGCAGCTGCAATTATCCTCTTGTGTTTATTGCTATTAGTGGGTGAGTCTCATTATGTCCACATTTGTCGATTGTTTGCCGTAAAGAGAATGAGAGGGAGAGGATTGGCATGGAGACGAGTAGTAATCCATATTTGTGTAATAATTCCATTTATATACTATTCTATCTTGTTAGTGCATAGTCTGTCTATATATACATACATGTATATAATATAGTCTGTTACTGCATTCTTGTTGGCATATAGTGCTCACCCAGCTTCTTGTCATTAGATTGTAAGACCTTGTACTGTACATGTGTACAGGGTATTTTGACAAAAATTATAAAAAGGGAATTTACCATTTTTATAATGTTTCCTGATACATATACATGTTTTTATGCTGTGTAGCAAGTTTGAGCTGATTCCGATAAAAATTGAATTTTTAATGAATTTTTAAAGTTGCTCAAAAATCGGGCCAAAGTCCCTGTACTATAGTACAGGGATTTTGGCCAAATTTTGCCAAAAATGACTAGTTGGGAATTCTTCATTTTAAAAATATTTTCTGATGCATATACATGTTCTTATGCTGTGTAACAAGTTTGAGCTGATTCCGATCAAAATTAAATTTTTAATGAATTTTTAAAGTTGCTCAAAAATTGGACCAAAGTCCCTGTACTATAGTACAGGGTCTCAGCCAAATTTTGCCAAAAATGACTAGTTGAAAATTCTTCATTTTAATGATATTTTCTGATACATATGCATGTTCTTATGTTGTGTAGCAAGTTTGAGCTGGTTACGATCAAATTTAGATTTTTTATGAATTTTTAAAGTTGCTCCAAAACTTTAAAACCCTGGCAGAGAACTCTACACTTCTTCCCACCTTCCTCTTTCTCTTTCTCTTCCATCCTTTCTCTCTTCTTGTTTCCACCTACTCTTCCTTATTCCTCAACCTCCCCCTCCCTTTTACTCTCTCCTTCTATTCCTTCTCTCTTCATCCTTTGGTGACTTTGTCTCTTTCTCTATCAGGTAACCGTGCTGGTGTCTTGTATGCTGATATCCTAATGAGCGTTTATGAAAATATCGCATCAAAGCACGATCAATACATGCCACTACTGAGAACCTGTTACGGTTAGTACAAGATCACACATTAGCTCACTCCTTAATGCATTTTGACATAAATCATCTAATATCAATAATATTGCCACAGTAAAATTGTAATGCTAATAATAATTATGCTAATACCATGTATGAGGGATATTATTATTATTATTATTATTATTATTATTGCACTAGTTAACAGTGTGTAGTCGTTAATTGAAGTTTGACATCAAACTCATTATTTGCATATCTTCTCGTTAATAATCAAATGATGTGGTAAGGTGATAGTACTATTGATGCGTCAGTTATTTTAACATTTCCGTACTGCCAATGTCCTCTCTACTGACTACTGACCCGTTTTCCTCTCCCACACGCCCTTTACCCATGTCTGTAGAATGTTCTAGAACACTCTGTCATAGGATGTGTCTATATGTATCTCGATTAGTTTATATGTATAAATGTGTCTGAAGTTTTACTACTAAGTTGTTTGGATATTTTCAAGATAGGATAAGGGTAGACACTTGATTACATTAATTCTTAGATGTTCTAAATCTGTTATATATTAATGAGACATTGGACTCAATTTCAACATTCTTCTCTTGCTATCAACACATGTTTATTGATGATGACATATGTGAGTTGCATTCTTAGCCTCTTTCATGTCACGTACAGCTTGTACATGTACATACACATGTGTGCATATTAGTGAGGGTTGATTAAACTCTGAGAGGAGATGAAATACTAGCTGGTATTTGCACTCTCTTTTTTCTCTTATAAGGACAAATTTGTTGACTTGTTTTCTTTCTCACTTCATTGCCTTGACAAACATGCATATTCATTACAGATCACACTGTAGACCACATACAAATCAAAGAACTGATTCAAGTGTATTGTTACAATGCTTAACATAATTCCTGTATGATCACTGCATGTTTGTTAATATACACTGTAACAATATACTCCTCCTGTGGTGTAAAAATTATGTTTTTTGAATACTGCATGATTTGTAGCTTTGTTTTTAATGGTACACATGTTTGTGTAATTAATTATATTTGATTTTTATTGGCATGTACATGTGCTTGTGTAGGAGTTCAATGGATAGTGCCTTTTATCAGAAAGATTCAGGTATTTTAAGTACAAGTGTTATTGTGTACTAATGGTCTTTATTGATCCTCCTCCTCCTCTTTCAGGCAGAATGTGACAAACAAGTTGAGATTATACTCCAGCACATGGCTGAGGATAGGATGCTGGAACACAAGGTATGATATACATTATTTTCTTTCATTCTTTACTCTCCTCTCTCTCTCTCTTTCTTTCAGACACAGACGATTGGAATAGCTTTAAATGCTAGACACACAGCTGGTGCTATTCGGTAAGACTGGATATGATCCAGCATATAATAATTATATCTTGGTATATGATTTATTATTGTACAATTGTACAATTGTACATGTACAATGTATATCTATTTTAATGTAACTATTTACTGTATAATATACTTTAATCCTTTAGGCCAGACCCAAGGGAACTAGATACTTTATTGACGGAGCTAAGTTTGTGTAGCTCAAGAAGTGAATTATATTATAAGTTTGTACTAAAGAAAACACAAGTAATCAATATTCTCTATACTTGTCTATATATCAATTCTTTCCTTTCCTTTTTTCTATCCTCATGTGTTGACTATATAGAATTTTCAGTTATCAGGTAAAGCCCTGTATGTTAATTCGCGCCCTCCAATTATTAGTTATTGTTATCACAGAGTCTGATGTGTTGGAGATTTTAAAGACAAGTGGAACCAGTTTGAAAGTCCAGGTAAGCCGGATTTATCAAAATTGGGCCCCTGGGATTATCATTTATATATACAGGAAGTTATTGGTTGGTACATATTGATGGAGAATTACTTCATGAGGGAGACATTGCAGAAAGTAAATGGAAAGGAAATGGTTCTAATATTTTCTTTGCCTGTAATGTGCACTTTTGCCCTCTTCTCCAGGCTGTTAGTGTGGATCAGATTGAAGAAGGTCAACTTATTTCTAATCTACCAGATGATGCTTTCTTTGTCTTTCAAAAGAGTTTAAAGTGCATTTAGTTACCAATCAATAATAAGTGTGTTTATTTTAATTTTAAGGAGAGCATTTTCGTCATCTAATATTGATTGTTCTTGTGCTATGATCAACAATACAAGGTCAGTCCCTAACACTATACTAATGCATTCTTCACATCATTCCTATCACGAAACTGTTGACTGTATGAGCCTTTGCTAACACTATACTAACACGGCCTTGAGCATCATAAAGAATATATTTTATTGTATTATTTATTATTGATTTCTAGTACTTTGCTCCTTAAAGAGTTCAAGGAAGAACTTGAACAACCATTGATCGATCAACCAACCACACAAATGTACGTATGCACACAGAAAAAACTTAACATAATTATCTCACACTTTTTCTCCATCTCTCCTCTCTCTCTTTCTCTGCTTCATTTTGTATCCAGTGGTGGCATTACAGACATGTTTCAATCATCAGCAAACAAGTCCTCACAAACAGCAAGTGATGATCTATGGAGGACATTAGGAGTGAGTTACATGTACATTTAGATCATTTGTTCACTATACTATTATTACTATAATGCACATGTACATAGAATCATCTTATCTAGTTTGGTAGTAATAATTATAATTTAAGGAATGCTTTAATGAATGAAACACACAAGTCTCCTTGTCATTAACCCAGTTAGGGAGGGAGAGAGGGAGAGGAGGGGAGAGCTGGTATGTGTTTACAGATGTTCATATTGTCCACCTGCAGTTAAGCACACCTGTTGGCTCTCCTGTTACTGGAGGGTCTAAGATAAGCTCACAATAATTGGATAGCAAATGTGCTGCATCAGATAATTATTATAACTTTTGCATTAATTTCTCACTGATGAAGTTATGGCTTTTTAAAAATCAACCATTTTTTGAAAATACCTTACTTTCGACTGAAATATTTTAAATTATGGCCAATTTATTTCTGAAAAATACCTGCCCATGCTTTTTCTAAAATGTGCTCCAAAATAAAAATCTCCTTTTATGGTTGATTTTTGTTGTGTATCTCTTATGGTGTAGGTCTCTTGCTCTAATATTGAAGTTAGTTGTCAGAATATCAAGAGATTGATTCAGCAACTGCAAGTTAGTGCATATAGTAAAATTAGTATTATACTGTATATTTTTACTTATTGATTTTTTAGAGTGAAATTTCTCTTTTAAAAGTGGACGAAATTAGCAGAGCCAAACTAGAGGTGCAATAATAATAATATTATAATTTTTCATAACCAAGGTTCTTTTCTCTCCCTCTCTCTCTCTCTCTCTCTTAGACATGTTTAGCTGAACTGTGTTCAACCACTGGTCCATTTCAAGAGCTCAGAATGGTAGCAATAATAATTATTATTGAATTACAAAAACAGTGTAATTAACAATTATCGTTTCCTCAAGAATGCAATAGGACACTTTATCGAGTCAGCAATGTTGCCTGATGTGATACCAGCTATTGATCAGTTCTCAACTGTCTCACACGTCATCGAGGTGAGGATCACATGACTCTAATGTGATTCATCATTATAGCATAGATATTAGAAACTCTTATATTATTATCATTATTATTATTATTATTATTATATATTAGATATTAAATGTCTTTATTCTCTAATATCTATGATTATAGGAAGAGGTTATGTCTGATGAGACTTTTGTTCAGAAACTTGCCATTTCTCTTTCTCGGATTATCGACAAAACAAAAGTATAGCAAATGAAAAATTTGACAAACTTTATGTCCTTTACTCCTACACATACAGTCTCATTTGCTGGCATCATTGTACAACGAGACCATATTGCAATTTACCAGTGAAGTAGCAGACGCACTTGAGAAACAAGTATTCAAATCAAACTTTAATCAGGTAGCCTTGGCAACAAGCCCGACGCCTATTAATTCCCGTCAGCTAGTTAGGCGGAGTCAAATTGGATAGAGATCTTCGTCAAATCGTGTCGTTTCTTTCGGAGAAGACGGAGCAACCGCTGAGAGATAAATTTACACGAGTTACTCAGATGGCAATTATACTCAGTTTGGATAGGGTAAGGTTATTATCATTTTTAAAATTTTATTATTATTTATTTATTTATTATTATTATTATTATTATTATTATTACTATTTATTTTATTATCATTCTACTGTGCCACCTTGCAATTGACCAATGAGATTGCAGTATTCTAGGTCAATTATTAAATGGTTCCTTTATGCTTTATATTATTAGTCCATTTGTAAAGCTTGATTGACTTTTTTAATTGACTTTTTTGATTGAATTTTTTGATTGACTTTTTTGCTTGCCTAGCCACATGTATATGTTGTATTTATGTCAACTGTGGCCTTATTATCAGCAGCTGGTAGTTGTTTTCAATTGTCATGGTAGAAGTTGGCTATACACCTGCGACTGCATGGCTAGGTCAATAAATCCCATAGAAACCTCTACCTCGGTGTATGACCTATACTTATTGTTTTCTAAGGTTGGGGAGGTTGAAGATTATTGGAGCTTAAATTCAGGACCAACAAGATGGTATCTCACAGCTAAAGACATAAAAGGAGTTCTTCATTTGAGGTCTGCCAATGTATCTTATAATAATAAACTTTCAGTCTTTCCTACAGGAAGGATTTTAGACCAGAAGATATAGAAACTTTAAAACTATCCCCTCGAATGGGACGCCATTGATTATTATTAATTTTTATGACACGTTTTATCACGTGGGCACACACATTTGATTGGTCAAAAGGCCCCGTTAAGGCGTGGAAATGCAGCTGCCATTTGTGGAAAGAGGCGGGAAAGGAGCTGACCATAGATAGCACATCATAGCAGGGACCTGCTCTGTTCAGTCACTTTGGTAAATCAGTATTTGAGAAAGCCAGATTAGAAGTAGTTTTCGGTTCATTTAGGAACAGTTTTATGTTTTAAACAGGTATATATGATTATTTATTTCTTAGATATTGATCTATTCATTCATATATATACAAAAATAATAATTGTACTATTATATTATATATATTATGAAAATACAGTAACTTGACTGGGTTTGTCTTATATATAAAGATACAATTTAGAAAGGAATGTAGAATGCAATGTATAATAATATTTCATCAAGCCACACCCATTGATTAAAAATGGCTACCAGTGAGTACAGTACTAATCCCCTTTCTCTCCCTCTCTCCTTTCCCCTCTTAAGAATGAGCTCTAATGGAGTCACCGGTTCAGTTAATACAAAGACCGGCCTAATACCTCAATACAAGATCGGTGACCTGGTCTGGTCCCCATGGTCCTCTGTTCTGTGGCCAGCTATGATATCCTACGATCCAAGCAAAGCCATCTACTTCCGAGTCTCTCCCTCGAAGAACATAACTCATTATCACATTCAATATTTCGGTATAGTCGCCCAGCGCGGGTGGGTCCCCGTTAAGAGTATCCAGCCCGTCAGATCAGTTCATGAAAATGGGAAATCAAAGCCACAGAAGAAGACACTGTGGAAGGATTTTGAGGTTGGGATTGATGAGCTGAAGAGAGCAAACGCTCTGTCTATCAAGGAGAGGAAACTGACATTCATCTTTGATTATGGTGGATGCTCATCTGGATCGAAGAAGAAGAAGAATGATAAACCAAAAGTGGACAAAAAACCTCAATCAGATGATGTGACCACAAAGCCTATTGTAACTCTAGAAGCGACAGAAGAAGATGAACCACAACTTATCATTACAGAGACAAAAGATTCTCAACCTTCGTCCACTTCCCCACCTCCTTCAGAAGTCTCTTCTTCTAATAAAGTCTTAAACGTGTCTCCACGGTCAACGGCATCACCTTACTCACTAAGAGACAAGATAACACTGACCCAAAGGAAGATCAACGCTTTAGCAACTTGTTCTCCACTTTCTGAGGTTGGTACTGTCACTCCTGAACCGCTACTCATCGGAACCACTCCCACTGTTGCTAATGGTGGTGAAGAAGAAACTCATTCATCAACAAATAGAGAGTGTGTTACTAATGCTGGTGGCACTGATAATGGTGGCGAGGGTCGTAAAAGGCATGGTAGAATGCAGGACACATCGTTATTCCCTCCTGGCCCTCCTCCTCTTCCATCAGGAGCTAATACATTCACCTCTTGTACTGATGACCTCCTAACTCCTCCTAGCACTGACACTGATAGTGACTCTCTTGATATCTCAATACCTGCTTCATCTCATCTTAAAAAACAAACGAAGCCTGATCTTGCCCTAGCCTCCTCCTCTACAGAGGATACAGGTTCTCCTTCATTACCCCCTCCCTCCTCCTTCTCTTCTCTCCCTTTGCCCCCTCCCTCTACAAATATATGTTCTATATGTGATAATCCCTCCAACCCCACTCAGTGTATCATTACTTGTAAAGGACATTGTCTCAATTCATTCCATGTCGATTGTCTCGGTCTCATCTCTCCTCCTTCCTTCCCATTCGTTTGTGACGAGTGTACGTTGTCTCCTAGTGTATGCTATGCATGCAAGAAGCCGTCAGTTGATCCAGTCTCCTCTCTAGTTCCCTGCTCCCATCACTCATGCTCTCAGCTCTATCACCTTTCCTGCATTCGTTCTTGTGGGAACTTCAAATTTGATTCTTCCAATCCTAACGTCATTCTCTCCTGTGGGTTGCACAGTTGTGCTAAGTGCGTATGTTCCGATGGTCCTCCTGTCACTGGTAATCAGAAGTTAATGCAGTGCTTAAAGTGTCCTCTCTCCCTTCACAAGTACTCGTGTCTCATTGCCGGCTGTGAGGTCCTCAGTGATAAGACGATGATTTGTTATCGTCATTTGTCCATCTCTTCCTCTATGCCTCAAAGTCTCCGTCACTTTAACATGAACACTTGTCTCGATTGCGGCGAGCCTGGTTCTCTCATTTGCTGTGATTCCTGTTCCGCTGCTTATCACGTTAAGTGTTTGCCTGATGAGGATCAGTCTCGGGCCGGTCAGGAGAGATGGCTCTGTCCTAACTGTGTCTCGTATGACCTTCCCACCTATGGCTCTATTGTAATGGTCAAATGTGGAGCCTACAGGTGAGCTATAATTATTTATATTTATCTGCATGTTTTTTTATTGAAGTATTTTTTAAGTGCAATTAAAAATCAAGAATTCTTTTATATCTATGTGTGTATTTTTGATGAAATTTGGCCCAAGACCCTGTACAAATTTATTCCAGTTTAAGCCTCTTTTTTTTACATACAATTATAAATTACAATGAACTCTTCCTTTTCTTTTTTAGATGGTGGCCTGCTGAAGTAGTTCTTCCTTGTGACATTTCAGATAGTTTCAGGAACTCAAAGCCAACCCAGTGCATGTTTCTTGTCCGCTTCTTTTCGTCTAATCAATACTTCTGGACACATCACGGGCGAGTCCTAGCCTTTACTGAGGAGTGCGCTATTGTAAAGGAAAACAAGAGTCACAAGCAACAGCCTCTTAGCTACATTAATGGTAAAATTATCCTCTCCTTTCCTCGTTTTATGTTTTGTCTGCTGCAGCTTTTCAAGAAGCATTGACAGCTCTGAGAGAGCAGGAATCAAGACCAGCTAAGAAAGAAAGCAAGTCTTTTGTACACATTAAGGTAGAGTCTTTAATTATTGAACCTTCACATATTTTTCTTTATTTTGTAGCGTAACAAGTACCTCACGTCCCGTCCTCCATTAGAGACTGAGACAGAGCCTTGCAAGTGTACAGAGTCGTCTCCTTGTGGCCCATCCTCTAACTGCATCAACAGAGCAATATTCACCGAATGTAGTACCGAGAACTGTCCCGCTGGCGACAAGTGTCAAAACCAAAGAATGCTACGTAACGAGTCAGTGCCCACTCAAACTTTTTACACTGGGAACCGAGGATGGGGTCTGAAAACCATGCGCTCTCTCTCCCCGGGGGATTTCGTCATCGAGTACGTGGGGGAGATTGTCGACATGGCCGCCGTACAGGAGAGACTCAAGAAGACTCAGGAGGCGTCCGTCTCGAGTTTTTATTTTCTGACGCTTGAGCGTAACCTGATCATTGATGCTCGTGTGAAGTCGAATCACGCTCGCTTCATCAATCACAGCTGTGACCCAAACTGCGAGACTCAGAAATGGACCGTGAATGGGGAGACAAGGATTGGTATATTTGCCATTAAAGACATCAAAGAAGACACTGAGCTCACCTTTGACTATCAGTTTGATTGTCTCGGGAATGAAAAGAAAGCGTGTCTCTGTGGTGCTCAAAACTGCAGTGGGTTTTTAGGCGAGAAACCCAAACAGGAGAAATTAAAACAAGAGAAACCACAACCGCCAAGTTCCTCAAGAAAAGGAACTGGTAAGAGGGCAAGATCATTCAATAAAGACCAAGCAAGGGTCAAACAGAGAAAGATTGAAGGAGAAGGGAGGAGTGCTAGGAGTGCAGCCAGACGAGAGGCTAGCAAACCAGGAGATTTGATAAGAGAGGGCAATGTAGAATACATAGTCATGCCTCCTCCTAGCTCTACTTGTAGCTCAAGGAAGAGTGGAACAAAATTAAAAGAAAAGCTAGTCAATAAGGAGAAGAAAGGCCCTGGAGAGGGACCAGTTGGGAGCTTAAAAGCTCTGCCAGTTAAAGGGAGAGAAGGAGGAGGAGGAGGAAAGGCAAAGAGCTTATCGACGAAAGAGAACTTTGTCCCTTTTTTCGACATCAATCGAAAGAGGAAGGCTCCGAGTATCATGAAGACAGCAAAACAGCGCAAAGAGGATCCTTACGATGATGAATGCTTCATATGCAATGAGGGAGGCGATCTCGTTATATGCGATTATCCAGATTGCTATAAAGTATATCATCTCTCGTGCATTGGATTGAAGGAGCTACCCGATGGAGATTTTCATTGTAGGAGGCACTCGTGTTTTGTCTGTGGTGACACAAAGGCAGAATATCACTGTTTCTATTGCCCCAGGGCATTTTGTGAGACTCATCACAGGGAAAAGTTTATAGTTACAGATTCAGCTAGTTTTAAGTGCATTAAGACATGTTATTCACCTTCTTAGGATTCATCATCTGGATTATAGGATTAAATAGGATATTATTATCATGCTTCATGCACGCATACATTGACTACATTCACACCAAAGTTCAGTCCTCAAGAGTTTGTTTTAAAATATTCCCTTCTGCCTTCTTAGAACAGTTTTTACTCTCTACTCCTTTCTCTTTCTATGATAATTATAATTTATACAGATACAAGTTATTACAAAGTGCTGCAGGCGTGGTTATAAAGCATATGATTCTGATCAAAATGATAAGGGTTGCTGCATTGGTCCTCCTAATTCTCTTTTACAGAGTAACAAGCTTGTCATCACTCCAAAAAGAAGATGACATTATTTCATCTAAAGAGAAGCTCTCCGTCCTTCTCCTTCATTCCATGTTTCCTTCTCATTTTCTTCCACTCCTCTCTCTAGGAGCAGAGTTATCTTCAAGAGGTCATAAAGTCACCACCCTAGGCCCTGTTCTCGAAGGTTACGAAAATTTGTTTATAAAGAGAGCTCAAAGTTTGGGGTTGGAGACCATTGAAACGAACATGGTATCAGCAGAGACCTTTAAAATGTACAGTCAGTCTGCAGAACACGAGGAGGGTTTCATCAGTACTGTGAAGTGGATATACAATATGTCCCTCTTTTTCACAAGTCCTTCCTTTAAGAAAGAGAACTACCTTGTTAAAATGCGGGAGACTATTGATGCACTGAATGGTAGCGATTATGACTACGTAATATCAGAGCATGCAACAATGTCTTTACTTTATTATACTCAAAGGAAATGGTCTATTGAAGATATCATGCTAGTAACTGTGGTGCCAGATTTTATTGCAAGGTCTATTGTCCCGTGGCCTTATCCAAGTCTTTTGATTTCTTCAAGCGATGATATGAGTTTTGTAGATCGACTCCTAAGTGCTTTATTTTTGCCCTTGGAAACATTAATGATGTCTTTTTTAGGAAAGGCTCTTTTTGTTGCAGAAGATGAATGTTACTTGCCTTCTTCAAATCCACTAGAAGTGCTCTTATATCAACCTACACTGTATACTACTGTGATTGGAATTGAGCTACCACAGGTTATATTACCATTGCAGCATTTCCTAGGCCCATTGCTCCCTCCTGATCATTCTCTTCTTGATTCAAGACTCTCAACGTGGTTAGAAAACACTTCTAATGCCCATTCTCCAGTCATTTATATTAGTATGGGCACAACGGTGTTTATTAACAGGGAAATGGCTGAGGCTCTGCTCAAACTTTCTTCAGAGTACAGGCTAGTGTGGTCTCTTCGTAAGTCAAATCAGCACGTTCTTTTAGGATTAAATATTGACAATAAAACTGTCTATGTAGCACCATGGGTAGCTCAGTTTACAGTGCTTGGGCATTCATTAGTTAAATTGGCTATACTCCATTGTGGAATCAATGGAATTCAAGAAGCATTCTATAATGAAGTCCCTGTACTATGCATACCTGGTGGAGCTGATCAATATTTCCTCGCCTCAAGGCTGAAGGTGAAAAAACTTGGTCTCTGGCTGAACGCTAAAGATGCAAATGAAGACAATTTGAAACGTGCAATCAGCACTATATTGGTGAAAGAAAAAGACCAATTCAAGAAAAATACAAAGAAAATGAGTGCTTTGTTCAAAGCTGCAGGAGGAGTCAAGAAAGGTGCTGACCTTGTTGAGTTGTATGCTGAGATTGGATACAAACATGGCCTACCATCATTCATACGCTACGAATGGAACTTCATACAATATTACAACATTGACGTGTGGTGTGTCTTAGTTATAATATTGATAGTGGGACTGATGGGGTGTAGACTGTGCTGTGGATGCTTTTGCAGGAGATTCTGTTGTTGCTGCTACTGCTGGAGGCAGAGTAAGGAGAAAAAAACAAAGACTGATTAATGTTCTCAATTTTTTATTAACATTTGAAAATTGTGACAGTTAGTATCGCATGTACATGTAATTTAAAGCATAAATACTCTTTTTAAATAGTTTTAAAAGTTTTTTTGAAGTGTCTAAGAGTTGCTGCTTGGGTTCTGGACAACAATTAAAAGATAATCCTTGTCTAAAAAGTTACACAATATTAATGCACATATAATATTTATTATTCAGTACCTGGTGCAACCATTATTTCATGTTTCTTTGTCCTTATTCTCAGGAAGTAGAGCTCATTCATTGGGTCAAGGTCCCTGACAGTAACACGAGTCTTTGCTGTCAGAGAGTGAAGAAGACCAGCATACTGAACTGTAGTGGCATTATCCATTGTAGTACGAATGGGTATACCTTAGGAAACAGTGATAATAACAAAGAGGTTCATTAAATCATTGCCCCAAGTATTCCTATCTTCTTACCTTCCTGATTGACTACTATGACCCCAAGAACACCTTTATGGGACTGGATCCTCTTAAGAGTTTCTTCTACTTCTGACTATAAAAGAAAAATAAAGTTTTAGAAGGTTTTTGATTCCCTTACCATTATTTTCCTTCTGCCCTGTGTGCAACCGTTACTATGACAACCTTCACTAAAATAGAGTTCTTAAGGGGTTAAAAATCATTGAATTTTAACTCTCAAAATGGCGGTCCACATGACGACAGCAGTACTTAGAAGACAATCTCTACACTCTTCTTCTTCTGGTCCTTTCTTGTCTCTTCTGCAAAGAGGAAGACGAATCGATAAATGTGGGAGGTGTTTTTCTACTTCTGAAGCACTAGTCCCAGCAGATACGTCTCATAAAAATGGAGAGGAGAGGGTTCAAAGAAAAATAACAGAAGAATCATATTTGATAGGTGAACACCAGCCAAACAAGTTTATACCAGTCACGAGATTAATGCTAGTCAATACTCTCCTGGAGGATAGGAAGCTACTCAGTCCAGAGGAGAGGGAAAGGATTAGAGATTTATCAGCTTCACTGGATACCTGCATACTCCAACAGTTCTACACTCAACTGGATGAACTTAAAGTATGAAAAAACAGTAGAATTATTATTATTATTACAAATGCATATACAATTTTATTTATACCAAATTTTTCTCTCTTTTTTTCAGCTTCTTTATGATGGTCTAGATCCAGATAAAGACACCATTACTACCAAAGTGTCGGCTAAAGATCGTCTGGACAGTGAGTACTGGCTCCTACACAAACTAGAGCACCTCCTCTACAAAGCAAACTACCTCAAGATACCAAAAGAGAAGGTTCTTCTTTTGCTGCAGGAGCACAACACTAGTGAAGGTGTGAGAGTCGCCGTAGACCCTTCCCAGTACTCTGTACTCAAGATATGGACACGGGGATTCAAGAAGATACCTGTACCTTTTTTTGAGAAACTGAAGTTTGGTTTTTCAAAGGTTCTTAGTCGCGGGAGAGACGAGAGAAGAGGACCAATGAATGAGGTATTCACAAGAGTCTTTATAGCCGTTCGCTCAAAGAAGGAGAGCAAACTACACCTGAAGGTTTTCAAAGACGTGCCATGTCCTCACTTAGAGTATTTGCTGCCTGACGGGAAAATACGAATGTCAATGTTTGACAAAGGTTTCTTGACCTCCAGCGTCTTCCTTGGCAGTATTGTAGCAGCTGCTAAAGGCATTGCTCTTGCCGGTGATTATAACATGGACTTTGCTTGGATTGGACTGGGTCTGGCTGGACTGATAGGAGCAAGAGGGTGGCTGGGATACAAGAATAAAAGAAACGCTTATCTTGTTAACCTCTCTAGGACGCTCTATTTCAAATCGGTGTCTAATAATCGCGGCGTCCTCACGCTATTGACTGACAGGGCTCAGGATGAGGAATCTAAAGAGTCTCTATTAGCTTATGTCTTCCTCTTGAGTCCTCCCAATAGGAGAGGGGTACCAGGACTGGCATACACTTCAAGGGACCCTGCCTATGATACAGAGGAGTCACTTAAGGAAAGGATAGAGGACTGGCTTAAAAGCAAGTTCAAGATAACAGGTGTCAGTTTTGATATTGAGGATGCACTTTTAAAGCTTGATACGATGGGTCTATTGGTTAGACATGCCAATGAGACTCTAAGTGTCGTACCAATGAGTGTAGCCCTTGAGACTTTACCGGGTCCTTCATTAACACTGAGTGGAGGATTGAGGAACCCTGAGACAATTGAAGAGGGGGATGGAGGAGGAGAAGATCCACTCTCTTATCATGAAGGATGGAGATAATCCAGTGACTATAGCTGTCGCTTTTATTATACCTTTCTGTCTCTTTCTCTCTTCTATATGCAGTGAAATGTCATTATTATGATTATAATTATTATTGTGTTAGTTATTTTAAAAGTTATAACTAAAGAGCTACATGTAGACAGTGCTTCTTATGAAAGACATAGGAAAAATAGGAGCAGAATCAGTTGCAATTAGTGACTATACAAATAGAGTAATGAGTTATAACAATATACAATAATACTTCACAGCAGGAGTAATAAACAATATACCGGTATATGTTATTGAAATCAGTGTTATAAGATAATGATATATGCCTCTGGCTCAGTTATTCTTGCTGAGTGGTGACAGTCACGCCTTTAAGATCAGTTGATCCTGAAGAGAGTCTCTGCCTCACTCCAAGTGTAACGGCATGGCCTAGTCCCTGGAGAAACAAACGGAAACTGGTAGCCACTTTCTGAGGCTGTTCCTCCAGTACTAGCTGATTAGTCTCATACAGCTAAGGAAAAGAAATCATAAATTTATTATCAGTGAATTATTATTACTTCAAGAACAGTGCACTTAGTTGGATCCAGCAATCCTTTGAATTCAGACTATAATATAAAGAACATAATTTACAATACAATTAAATTGATACATTCACCCCATCCCTAGCTAATACAATATGTACTATTATTATTATTATTATTATTATTATTATTATTATTACCACATTATTTTCCGCTTGTGGCTGACTCATTATGAAAAGCCACTGACAAGGGCTCCTGTAAATTGTGACACAATTCAACAAAGAATCATCTTCTTTTATCACTTACTGTGCAACCGTTTCTTCCACCATATCAGTGTAAATTGCTGATCGCCTACAAAATAAGAACAATACTTAGATATTGTTACTGTTGTTTTTTTTCTCTTGCCTTGAGTAAGAGTCTAAGAGAAGGCGGACATTATCAGTGTTTTGCTTCTGATAGTAGTGATGATAAGTAGCAGAAACATCACTTTGATCAGACTTGGAGTTAGTCTAGCAATATAAAATGTAATCGTTAATAGGCAAAGTTATTGATATGCTGGAAATACGACAACAGCGTACGGTGAATGAATGACTCCTGAGATAATTTTCAACTTTTTCTGGAAGCTTGTTTGTCTTTAATAACCAAACTGCAAGCTACAAGTGTACGTACATATAGAACAGGATAAAAAGAGTGCAAGACATTGAAGACATTCATAAAGAATCAGGGATCTATATTACTTTGTTGGTATAGTAAGAAAGATTGTCCCAGTGTAGGGAATCAGTTGAGAAATCAACAAGAACTAGACCCCGTACTCTATCAGGACTCAGTATCTGTAATTAATATCAGTATCAGTATCAAAAATATCAGTGTCAATATCATATTTTTAATCTTACGGCATATCTTGTTAATATGTTAGCTCCAGCTCCTACACCGAACCCAATGAAATGACTTAAACTATAAAGAGATCTTTATTATTACAACCATTGTCTGTGTGATCATTCTTACTGCAAATATTCAACAATTATGGCGACTTGTTCTGCCAGCTCATTCACAGTGGGGTAAACGTAACTAAAAAGTTTACAAACAAACATAACCTAAACACATCCTCAACTGATCTCCCCTCCCTCTTTACAACTGATAAAACCGGCTCCATTGAAGACACACACAGTCTGTCAGACAATACACAAGTTTGGGTCAGACAACTAGACAATGTGTAGGGGTATTGGCTTCATGAGTGTACTTGTATGTCTGTTGTTACAAGTAATTACTCACTCATCAGGAAACGTCACTGCTCCGTCTTCCTACAATGATAATTAATTATTAATAAAGATACGTTTGATGTCTAGGATTATGAATCACGCTCTATCTAAATAAAGCTATGATGTGAGCAAGGGGATATCAGTAGGGGACTTAATTTGGCTCAATTTTATAACTTGAAAAATTCATGAAAAAATTAAACTTGATTGAAATCAGTTCAAACTTGCTACACGTCATACATGTACATGTAAGTACATGTATATGTATCAGAAAAAATTATAAAACTAGAAAATTCTCTCTTTTTTATTTTTTGGCAAAATTTGGCCAAAATCCCTGTACTATAGCACAGGGACTCTGGCCCAATTTTGGAGCAACTTTAAAAATTCATAAAAAATTTAAATTTGATCAGAATCAGCTAAAACTTTCTACACAACATAAAAACATGTATATGCATCAGAAAAAATTATTAAAATGAAGAATTCTCTACTTTTCATTTTTGACAAAATTTGACCAAAATCCCTGTACTATAGTACAGGGACTTTAGCCCGATTTTGGAGCAACTTTAAAAATTCATAAAAAAATTTAATTTGATCAGAATCAGCTAAAACTTTCTACACAACATAAAAACATGTATATGCATCAGAAAAAATTATTAAAATGAAGAATTCTCTACTTTTCATTTTTGACAAAATTTGACCAAAATCCCTGTACTATAGTACAGGGACTTTAGCCCGATTTTGGAGCAACTTTAAAAATTCATAAAAAATTCAAATTTGATCGGAATCAGCTAAAAATTTCTAAATAGCATAAAAACATGTATATGTATCAGAAAAATTATAAAAGTGGAGAATTCTCTCCTAGTCATTTTTGACGAAATTTGGCCAATCACCCTGTATTATATAGTACAGGGGTTTTGGCCTGGTTTTTATCACCTCATGTCAGTGCATTAAAATTATGTATTACACTAACTTGTCCTGGTGCATCAATGTGTATCCAGTAGAAGAGTGGTAATAGTTCTGTCATACTTTCATCACTCATGAACGTATTAAAACAAGAGCTGTCTATGTACTCAAAAAATTAATAAAAATAAAGAAGAAACAAGCGACTCACGATTCATTCCAACATCATGATAAGTAACAATGGCAGGTTTCTTGGAATCACCCTATACATTCAACATACAGTAAAATATTAGATGCCATTGTACTATATACTGCGTTGCTTACTTGTAGTGTGACTGTTACGTTACCATAAGGTGTTTCTACAATTTCAACACTCTGTGCTCAATGAAATGAAAGAGTGCATTATGACACATTGTACTAGTACAATTCATCATATTGAATATGTATACATATCAATGAATCAAATACACAATCAACAAACATAGTGTACAACATTATTATTGTGCACATGTTTTAAGTGTGAGATTTCGCTGAATTGAGCTCAAAAGATTTATATACGTATGTATAGGAACATTAAAATTTAACAAATTTTACTAAGATCAGCCTATCATTTATATTCATAAAATCATGTTAATTTTATTGCTTCTAACAGTTTAAGTGTATTTTACAACAGTCTTACCTGGTTGAGATTGGGGGCTGATGGTTGAAGATCAACATTAGAAGCTATTGGATCTAATAGAGGAACTGATTCTATGACAGTCAGTTGTTCTCCAGCTGTAACTATATCTGCCATTCTTTTATTCAATTTTCTCAGTCTCAAGCTACAGTAGCTAGCTACTATACTAACAGCAGTGAACAGTCACCAGTCTCACCAGCTCGACAGTCACAGCTGGAATATTAAAAAATAATATTTTAATTTTTAATTTATGTATAATTATTTTGACCAATTAAAATTCTCAGGTCACGTGTATCTAGCAGCTTTGTAAAACTAAAAATTTTGCAAAGAAAAAAAATTATAGCAGTTAAAGCAGCTTCAGCATTTTGTCTTGAAATCTTTCAGAAATCTCTCCAAGCTTCAGCAACAGCCTCTCAGCCAGTGACTCTGGAATGCAAATATCATGAGTGTAGACCTTGCCAAACTTAGAAGCTATATCTAATTTTTGTGCATCAAATTGAGCTGCCACTTTAGCTTCAAAAACTGCCATTGCTTTACCTTTTATGCCTTTTAAGTGACAAAACTGAAAAGCCATGCGGATCTCATCTACCTGCCCAATGCATTCGAATGGAATCTGCTCTCCCAATCCAAGCATCTGAGTAAAGAAGAGTTGATTCTCTTCGACATCAAGAAGGTTCTCATTGCCAAATGTAGCATGAACAGTAGCTTCAGAAAAGTAAGCAGAATAGCCTAACCAGACGTAGCAGCATTTTGGACAGCGAAGACACCAGGGCTTGCGCTGGTTGCATGAATGAGTAAAGGGAATTGCTGCAGTGTATGGAGCAATAGAATAAAATATAAGAGGATCATGTATTGGCATTAAAGAGCTAAAATATGCCAAATTAGAAATCAGATTCTCTTTAATGTACGAGGTAATGAGGATTTCCCCGTTATAGGATTTCACCCACTGGTGGTTAATCTCTTCACTGTTAACGTCCCAGACCAAATTACCTTTGTTAGCACTTCGCTCATGTGCCAAACAAAACTGTGTATAGCCATACATAAGTGCAAAAGGCAGTCCCTCAAAGATAGTGCTGGGAGTTTCGGCACATATCACAGACTTTACTTCAGCATTAGGGATTGCTGAGGGCAGGGGCGAACTTGAGAAGGTATCTATGAGTGTGACCCGATGATGCTTCTTTGATGCGGTGTGCTTCACAAGAGAGTCAGTGAGGCTGTGCTGCAGCTGAGCCGAACCATATATCGATAGTGCATAGCTTAGCGAGTGAAAGGGCTCTCCTATCTCTTCAAGTAGCTTCATTGATGCTAGACTATCTTTTCCACCTCCACAAAATACCAGACATTGCACAGGTCCTCCTTCAATGCTGATTGCAGGATTCTTGCTTTCGCTAGTAGTACTACTCTGCTCAGTCATACAGAATTTAGGTCCCTTCCAATTTGGAAGATTATGCAAAAATCTCCACTCACCAAATGCTTTGGCACTAAGAATTCTCCACAATTCTTCTAACCCTTTGGTTAAAAATGTAGAATATGTCCCAAGGTCAATGTACTTGAGTGAAGGGGCTAGCGTGCAGAGCTTATTCATCTCAAACAATGCGCAGTGAAAATAAACCTCCTCCATAAATGAGATCCCATACTTAGAATCCAGCTCTTCCAGTTGAAATGGGTACCAGAGAGTAGTTGTAAAACTGAGCCCACTAGAAAAACAATATGACATGTGAAGCTGAGATCCACAATGAGAAATAGATTCCAACTTCAGGATATCACCAATTGCTGGCTCTTTTGCTGTTAGATCCACATCCATCTTTAGGCTATAAAACACCTTGCTGGCTGGGAACAATGGGCTCTTTCTTTAATCTTCATGTAACACTCTGATGGTGGCTTATGATCAATTTGCTACTAGACTAGATACTTATTGTAGTTATAAATTATAAATGATAATAAATTAAACTCATAGACTTGGACCTTTTTTGCTTAGATATAGATCAAACTGGTTTATCTGGTTAGGTCTGGCTACTGAGACTAAGATCTATTGTGTGTGGCCTAACTCATATCATGTAACAACAATACGGCTGCCTAGCTTATCTTCATGGGCGGTTGGCAATCTGTTAATTCCGCCTTTTTCCGGATCTCTCTAATACTATACTCAATCAGTACAATTTATTTTTAGTGGCTATAAATTACATAACAGAGCAATATTCATTGACCAGTGAGAGTACAATAGTACAACTCCATTCATTCATGGGATGGAATGTGTCACCACTTCCTGGTGACCTTAGCAAAAATGTTAAAAAAAGAATTTGTAATTTTTGGAATGAATAAATAATCCACATCACACAATTGCAATGACAAAAAGAAAAAGAATTAACAACACGAGACCAAAATATATTAAAAAGATGAAAATAATATTTTAATTGCAGTCAGTTCTGCCAAATACAAAACTATAAAAGAATAACAAATCAGAACTGATGTGTACCAATGCATATTATGAGAGAGAGAGAGAGAAAGAAAGAGAGAGAGGGAAAGAGTTGAAGCAAGAGTCAGTAGGAAAATGAGAAAGATTTGCTGACTGTAAAAAGAAGATGAAGAGTTAATCAAAGTCAAGGAGCTCCCCAAAGATTGTGTCCAGTTTAGCATTCCCCAGAGTCCTCTGGACTTCCATGTGCTGTGTGGACTCAAGAGCTGCTGCCCTCAGAGGTGGGAGACGGAGGAGAAGTTTAGAGAAACGAAGTGGAGTCACAGGGTACATGGTTTTGCACCTGGTCTCCAATGCCTGGAGTATTTGCTCCTGAAATATCTCTACCCTCTTTCTTGTACCTGGATTAAGGCCTTTAGCATCTGCAAGAAGAAAAAGACATTATTAAAATAATAAGCTTTCAAATAAACTGTTAAATAATAAACTTTTGAAAAACATTCTCCCTGTCTCTTTCTCTCTCTCTTACCAGGATTAAAGAGTATGATTCCCTTAAGACAAGCCATCTCAACTTTATCAACATGAAGGACATCAAACCAGTACGAGATCTCGTGAGAAACCCTCTCAACAATCCTACGAACCTCGGGATCCTCAATCTGGTCTTTGCGACAGGTTAAACCGGAGCTGAGTAGGATAGTATCAGAGTGAGGACCAATGCGAGTGGCTTGCTTGAGGAGGACATGTTCACACCAGCAGGATTTAAGGAGCTTGACTTGATCATCAAGAGAGAGTGTGGTGAAAGCTGGTATCCGCTTGCTCCATTCAATCACACGTAGGAGAGACTGGCGTGCTCCCTCAAATATGTCCTCCAGCTTGATGCCTTGATCACTTGGAGTGACGTTGTCTGGCAGAGATTCAGTCTGCATGTCTGCTGTTACGAGTACAAAAGGGCTTACTGCACTTGGAGTTGGCTCTGGCATTGAAGACACAGAGTCTGAATAAGGCGGGACTGTAGATGATGGAACTCCTGACGTCATGTTGATGCTTGATGGAGTAGAGGGGCGACTCCCTCCTGTATAAGGCTCAACAGGAGGCATATGTATAGGGGGAGTCATAGGGGGACAGTCGTAATCTCCATATCCTCCAGTACCACATCCCATCTTGAGGTTAGGTAGTGAGCCGGATAGACGACTCTGAGTCATGAAGTTAGAGGGCATTATGGGACTGACTGGCCCATCGTAGCGGAATGATGAAGGCATGGGCGGAACAGGTGGGAGAGGAGGACCATTGGGAAAAGTAGTTGGACTGAAAGCTGGCGAAGCAGAGTAGCCTAGCTGTGTAGGGGTACCTGCTCGCTGGATCCTAGTAACTGGAGGAGCCCGCTCTTCTTGAACAGCTAAAGAAAATACAAGAGATAATAATGACAATAGATGATACATGTATCACAAATATGCATGCATTAATAAAAGGTCAAGTACAATGAACTTCAAAAAATGCCTACCTTCCTTTCTCATTCCAGTCTGAAGGCATTTCTGAAGTCGACAGTACTGGCATCTGTTCCTCGTGTGTTTCTCAACCGAACAGTTCCTAGTCCCTCGACAGGCATAGCGGGCCCCAGCCCTCACACTCCTTCGGAAGAAACTCTTGCAGGCCTCACATGAGAGGACTCCGAAATGATTTCCAGAGGCCACATCATTACAGACCTTGCAGGCAGACTGTGGATGGATGGTAGTTGAAGGAGGGCTGCCAGCATTACTTCCAGGGCCTGTTAGGGAGCCCAGAGAGGAAGGAGGGACAGCGAACTTGACATCCAGATCTTCTGGTGAGTACTGGTCTTGAAAACCCTGCAAAATTTGAAGATAACCAGGTAAATGTGTTGGGATACGATTGTGTTGCTGGTGCTGTTGGTACGCGTACTCGGGCGGGTTAGCAAACCCATTGTACACAGCCCTACTACTCGAGAGGTGCCCCATTCCTCCTCTCATCCCTGGCTGCTGAGAGGAGAAAAAAGGATCACGCTCTGAGGTATATCCGACGCGCTTCTGATAGTGTCCGGCCGGGTACCGAGGGACTCCGCCATAGCTGGTGTCTAAGAAGTCGGGGTGTGGTGGAGGACTACAATCAGAAGCAAAGCTCATGGGGCTAGTATTAGCATCTCCAAGCTCTAGGCCGTGAGATAATGGAAGAGTACTGGAATAGTCGAATAAATCTAGCTCGTTGTAGCAAGGGTCTGGCCTAGTCCCGTTCGGGATCGGAGAAGTTTGCTGCTCCATTAGAAATAAGTTCTTGTAGCACATTATTAGTAAGGAGTTCTAAGTCACTGCCTAGGAATCTCTTTTACTTTATAGCTCTTGAACGTTATGGCTAAAATGGCTTTTCTACTGCAGTTTTATCATGAACGATCATGACGATTCCATGACATCACACACGACACATTACGTATAATGACGTAATGGCAGGAAGTAAGTAATTATCACGAAGCTTTATATTAATTATCACGTCCTCCGGTACCCGGCTCTTTCATATAATCTCAAGAGTACTTTAGTATAAAAATTATATTAAAAGTATTTGTCTCAAAATCAACGAAACAAGCAGAAACAAGTATTGTCAACAGCATCCTGGTATGTATGCAAATCAAGAAAACAAACTCTTGGCACAAAACTTTAAAATCACAATTTTAAAGGATGGGGGTAGGTACAACAAATCTAATACTGTTTACAAACAGTATTCTTTATATTCACTCATGCAAGCCAATTATTCTCAAGTGAAATGTTGCACACACACACTGTATGTGTTCATGCATATATGTATTAATAACTGTATTCAGACTTAAAATGTATTTTATCCATCACTAAGTCTAGGTTATCACTATCATCCTTTTTATTAAAATGTACTTATACATTCAAGAAAGGCCAGAGATGGTGAACTCATAAAATTTTAGGCAGCCATTTGCCCTGTGTTAAAAGTGTAAAAATGCTATCACCAGATATTATCATACAGTGTACATAGACACAGACATGCACCCACAACATATCTTATAGATGATGCCAAATACCCTGAAGGGTACAAATATCAATAAAATGACTTCATCAGTGAATAATACCTCAAGGGTACATTCCAGTCTAGCTTCACAATAGAGAACAACGATAACACCTTCCTCCTACTCCTCCCCTACGCCATAAGGTAAATTCAAATTTAAGAAAGACTAACCCAAGGGCTTGTTACAGCTGCAGACAGGTATGTACAGTACATGTGGATAGTATGTATGTGTTTACATGTAGAGTGTGGAGTTTTTGGATTCCTTCATTGTAATACAAGACAGTGATGAGAATGAACAACCACATACCAGTGTGATCTTATTCCCCTTTCTATCCTATCCCTCTGACCAGACGGTTCTCTTTACGCAACTTTTTTCAATACAATGTGTTGTTTGCTATACATTGAAGTGTGTGCCCAATAAGATAAGCAATAACAAAAATAATATCCACACACACTCAGCAGATCAGTGCTAGCATTACACAGCCATGTAGGAGGACTCGATCAACATAAAATGAATTCAGTGACTTATATATCACTTTCTCTCTCTTTCATAAAACCTATAGCTGTTGTTATAGCATCCAATAGAAACTAATGCAAAATCCCCCCATCAAAACATTCCCACACAAACTGAAGCCTTATCAGTGAGCAAAGATAGATGATTATACTGTGCCTGAAGTAACACTGTAGCCTTGCTTACAGGCACATGGATACTGACAGCTGTGCTAAATTAAGTAATTGATTTAACTATTGTGATAAAGGTTCCAGACAATGTGAAATTCAAGCCCCCTTCCCACCTCACTTTTAAGCAAAAACACAGCCCAGCGCTATTACTAGTAGCCTCAAACATTGTGACATAAGCATGACAATGTTACTGATATGATACTATACTAGAGCCCCAAAGGAAATTGAATGGTAAGTGAATATCATGAAGAGGGAGATCACCAAAGATAAAGTTCAAAGTTTAATCATATACACCTGCTGAGCTACATGAATTCCCTGTAAATACTAAGTCTACCACTCTTTTTCTTTTCTCCCCTCCTCTGTCTTCCCTTCCAACTAATACACCACGATTTGCCACGATTTTCGTTGTATAACATATTACATGACCATTACTTGTTTTAGTGAAGACTTACATCATCTGAAAGAGCTGTAGCAACATCAACCACTGGAACATCTGCATCATTAATATCATTAGACATACCTTGATGCCTACAATAGAGAGAGAGAGAGAGAGAGAGAGAGAGAGAGAGAGAGAGAGAGAGAGAGAGAGAGAGAGAGAGAGAGAGATCAAAAGGTGATAATAATGACAATGATAATGTTCACACTAACATGACTTCATTTATAAGACTTAGTGTCATGAGATTTGATTATCACCTTCCAAAAACTCATTTTAAGTTTATCAACACTTGTGCGTGCATACATATAATCTATAATGCACAGCAAAAATAATAAGCTGCAGCCACCTCACATACGCTGGGAGAGTGAGTAAGGTACATATATGCGTACGTATTTTACTATTTTCCAGGTAATTCCATGCCTCGGAGTGAACCAAGTCAGACTGCAATCAATTTACAAAAAGAGACTAAACAAATTCACTCTATTGAGTCTATTATAATCTTTTACTAACATTTCTGAGAACAGAGGCCCACTAATAATAACTCAATGCAAGCAACAAGACTTTATTCCCATCAAATAAGCTTGTATAAAATAAAGGCCATGAATGTGGCACATGTGCAATGTGGTGGTCAAGTGTACACAATAAGGTGGTACATAGGGTAGGCATTGCTTTGATAAGGGAAATGAGAATTTGAGAAAGAAGGAGAATGAGGTGTAGTGTGGGAGAGACTAAAGGTATCCTTCTCTTGGTTGAGCTATTTGAGTTAGTTGCTTACAAATCATGAAGGGATCATACTGAGAAGTTATGTTTGGGACTAGTTGAGTTGTGTACATAATACTCTGTTGCTCTCTCTTTCTTTATGCTGTTGTTGTTTTCCATCTTTTTAAGTCCCTATACTTCACTGTCACTCTCCATTGCCTCTCTCTCTCTTCCTAGGATCCATCAATATACACTTGAGCTGGTAATGGCAAGCATTTACTCAATTAGGGTCACATGTAAAGCATTCGAGTAGACTGTTATACATAGTTTATCTAATTGATGGCATTGGATTGCTTTGATGAACAAAAGCTATAGCTCATTCACACACACACTCCAAGCCCTCATTTCTCCTCATTATCTAAGGAAGAGGACAAATGATATGCTAAGGAGAGGCCAAGCATTTGCACAGGTATAATAAACCATTAATTATTTTTATGTCTGCTCATTAGAGAGAGAGGATGTTTCACAGACACTTGAATGTACACACAGACTAAGCTCCATTAATTATATCAGATGCACAAAACAATAGTATTTTAAGCTGGATTATGATAAAATACATAAATAGAAGAGGTCCAGGATAGAGAATCTAACTCTACTGCAGGATATTGCTAGTAGACATGCATTCATTGGGAAATTTAATTTCAAAGTTTCAAAATTGCATTTAATTTTCAAAAGCTGCAAATTGAAGCAATGCAGAACTACACAGAGCTTACTGGTTTAAGATTGTGCTCATTCTCTGAAAAGAGTACAGCCAGTGACAGATGAATTACAAGAGGTAGAGTGTAATGGAGACAGTCCAAAGTATTGTTGACCAATGGAACGTGTCCTTTTTCACTTTTGCAGTAGTAGAGAACTCCAATGTTTTTTTACCTATATATAAGGACAGAATGAAAGACTGGGTGAATCAGAGATGCAGAGAGGGTTCAAAGGTCTCCTCTCCTCCTCCTACCAACAAACTTACCCGGCGCTCAAAGCTTCTAGTTGAACTTTGCCACAGAAGAGAGAGCGAGTGTGGAGGAAATAAAAAGGGATCGTATCCGTATACTTACCCGGAGTATTCTATAAATTCTCTGTTCCTCTCCGTATAAATCTTGTATACTAACATTCCAGCCCCTCCCTTTTGTGCCACTCCTTCTTTCACCCCGCCCATCTCGCGAGGAGCTCGACAGAGTTTTATGTAAATGAGAAGCAAATTCTCTTTACCTCTCCTTCCCTCCTCAATCCCTCCGTGTTTTTGGTGATTCAGATATCCCTAGGACTCCCTCTCCTCTGATATCAGCCCTGTATTTTGCATGTGATAAGGGGAAACACCAGTTTTGTCCAGGTTCATTTATATTAAAAATAGTCTTGACATAGTTTAAGTAGAGATGCATGTATCATGATTGCATATTGTGTCCTGTTCCAATCACTATGCACAACTTTCTCTCCTCCCTCTCCCTCTCTTGCACACCTTCTCTTTAGTAATGGCATCACAAGTCTCCACAAGCCCCATGAAGGAGCCCCTCCTCTCTCTCTCCTCCTCTTCCTCTCCTTCCCCCTCTGTTCCTACCCTCGTCCCGGCTGCAGTCACCCCCTCTAAGACCTCAACTGGCAGTCAGTGTTCTGTCTGTGATGATGTGGCTCAGACTAGTACTGTATTCAGGCGTCATTATGGCGTCATTTGCTGCGAGGCCTGCAAGTGTTTTTTCCGGCGTACCGTCCAGATGGGGCGAGAGTACAAGTGTCGTTTCTCTGGCTCTTGTCCGATTGGTCGTAATGCCATTAACATAAAGCAGGTCTGTCAGGCCTGTAGATTCAACAGGTGCACGCAGGCTGGGATGAAGATTGATTGTAAGTATTTGAAATGAGCTCGGCTTTGCATGGCAGGATAACTCTATGATGTATGATTGTGTAGCCCTATTTTGTTGTTTTCTTACACCTGGGTGAGCTGTTTTGTGTTACATTTATTGTCCTTTCGCGAAGTTTGCTTTTCTAATTGATTTTAATTGTTTTTTGTAATCATTGATATGGTTTCAGTTTTGTTCTCTCACCCTGCCCATACTCTGCGTTCAAGGGAGAACCTGTTATGCATTTGTTCATTCATGTATATGCACATTGTAGCATTAGGAGAAAGGGAGAGACTTTTCATTATAGTATATCATACACACCTATACATGTATATATAGTACTCAATGTGTAAGGTAAATGAATACCGTCAGTTCTGTCTGTTCAATTGTTTGATAGATGAATATTAGTTCCAGTCATTGTCTATCCAATGCCCACTGTATTATTCATCATATGCTTAATGTAATACATTAAACCAGAACTGATCAGCCTAATGAGGATCACTCTCTATCCTATCCTGATGGCCATCCAGTGCCTTATAGTATTTATTTACACTCCCCACTCACTATAGCTCCTATGTCATTACTTGTTCACATCAAATGAGTACATTATTTTACAATTAATTTCTCAATCACATTTTCTCTCTCTCTTTCTTCACTAATTTGACTCCTTACTACTGTATACTTGCTGATATGAGCTTGTTGGTTTACTTAATCTTGTGTTGCATTACCTTTTATGGTGTGTACATTATACCTTCGTAAAGTAAACACATCCCACCTTTCATCTGGTTTGTTTCTTTGTCTCCTCTCCCTATTAATCTTTTCTCCCTCCCCCCCCCCCTCTCTCTCTATTTCAAGCTCTATTTAGTTTTAGTCTCCTACCTTCTTTCTTATTATTATTATTATTATGCTGTCTATTTAAACTCAGGAATTACTATAGATATAGCTTACTACTTTTTACATGCGTACGTAAAATAATTGTTAATTATAACCGAGTAAAAAGAGGAAGAGAGAGAGGGGGGGGAGATATTGTTCATGTTGATATAGTTCTGATACATTAATTTGGATCCAGTAGCAACTGGCTTCTATTTACTATATCATTGAGATAAGAATTTATATAGTATCTAATAACTAGTTAATAACTACCTGTAGGTGTGGTATAGTAGATTGGGGGTGGGTGGATAATTGTTTCACGTAAGTGTAATTATCACGTAAGTCTAATGATTATTCATGAACTAATGGTGATGTCATCAATTATGTCATTCTTTATCATCATGATCCTGTATGACATTAATCTCATTTCCGGAATCATCCAGTATACTATATTCATAATGTTGCAAGCCCATTACCTTATATGGAGTTTGGTATGCAAATATTTTAAACCTTGTACCCTAGTGTGCATGCTCAGGATGTTGCTCATTTAAAAATTGTTTTTTAACTCCCTTTGTTCTAGTAAACATCATTTGACCTTTCAATTAGTCATTGTTTCCTTTCCTTTCTCTCCCTTTCTCCTGTGTTCTTTCTTCCCTCTTATATTTTTAAAATCCCCTTCTTCCCTCCCTCCCTCCCTCTCTCTCTCTCTCTCTCTTAATTAGCTGTAAAGAAGTTTCCACGGAAGATGAAAGACGAGAAAGTTCTTAAAAATCGTAAGAAACCTTCAGGCTCTTTGCCCGTGTTTCCGAGGTCTTCAACTGAATCGAACAATGACACCTCATCGAATCGCAGCCCGACCCCACCCACAGCCTCCATTGAGAACAAGTCAAAGAGAAAGAGAATAAAGCAGGAGGAGGGGGAGGAGGGAGAGGAGGACATTGAAGGATATGAAAGCGATTTCGAGCAGTTTAAGTTTAACGTTTCGTCGCCAGAGCTCTCGTCTATATATTCGAACGTGATCGAGACTGGAGGAGGAGGCAGGGTAGCATCATCCGCTAGTATACCTAAGCTCTTCTCTGGTGAGAGTTTAGAGAATATCCACGAAAAGAGCTCAATTCCTACGCCTAGCTCGACCTCAGAGGAATACTCTGATAAGAGATCTCCTCAAGTTGATTCTGTGAGTGAGCACTCTTCCTTGCTGATCAAGACTGTACGACAGCAGAGCCCACTTGTTCAGACATCCCTAGGTGTACCTCATAGCAATGGGCGACCCAGTCCAAGTAGTGGTCATGTTGATTCACCCGACCCTCAATTTCTTACCGGGAGTGAGTTACAGACGGCAGTGAGCCAGTTGATGGGGTCTACTGTAAAGCAACCAGCAGCTAATGTCAATTGGAATGAGATGCTGATTAAGAAGCAACGACTGGAGGATGCTCTCAATCACATCACAGCAAGACAGATACAAGTAAAAGCTAACTTGCAGCGTCTTACGAATCCAGGTCCTTCCTCCTTGTCTCCCCTCCCACCTGCAACCTCGTTCCTCCCTCTCTCAGCTCCTAATCCTCTTGTTGTTTTACCAGGCGGACTCCCCGTCATCAAACAAGAGACCACGCCTTATGCCACGCCCCATGAGACCCCACACGGGACCCCGGTTCCCTCTCCCTTGCCTCCGTCCCCTCACATGTCATCTTATGCCCCAGTACAAGTTCCTCCTCAAATTCATCATTACTCACATCCACCAACTCCGCTGCATCCAGGACCACACCAATACGAGCCACACCCTCTTAGTCAACCGGGCACGCCCCTAAATAGCCTCCCGACTAGTCCAACCGGTTTTAAACCTCTCGCTAATTCGCATTCTTTCTTTTATCAATCTAACACTTATCCTTATAGCTATCCTGTGTCACCTACATGTATGCGTGTGGGCGGGTCCGGAGGGTTTTCTCAGACCATTCCACCAATACCACTCATTAATGGGGCCACTCCTTATCCTCCGTTACAGTATAACGGTGGAGGTGTGGTCAGGGGAGGAGCCTCAATGCCTGGATCAGCGGTTACTAGTCCAATCAATAGAGTGAGCACATTTAACATGTACATGTACATGTAATTACATGTTTTTAGGATCCCGATAGTGCCCTTCCTTCTCCCTCCTTCACTCGTGATAGTCAGGGGAAATTAGCTGTTGAGCTCATTCCAGAGACTCATACTGAGCCGGAATCAGTCTTGAGTCATGTGTCATCGCGTCATGGGTCCTTAGCTAGTGCCCCTCCCTCTAACTGCCCCTCCCCTCAACCAGCTAGACCAGGTGAGAGTCATGTACATGTATTAACTGTGTACGTTTACATGTATAACCGCCTTCTCTTCTTTTATTTCTTCTTTTAGTCTCAGATGCGCCTGAAGCAGAAGTTGAAGAGGTTTTGGAATCACTGAAGCGTAGCATCAAGCATATGTTTAAGTGGGCAAAATCAGAAGTGAGTAATTGATGTACACACACACACACACACACACACACACTTAATTGTCACACTTATGATAATACGTATTTTCTTTCTTTAATAGGTTAAGGATTTTGATGATTTGTCTCCCATGGATCAGAAAGCATTGCTAAGACGTACAGTCCCTGAGCTAGTTATGCTAGGATTTGCAAGAGCATCAACTCCTTACGATGGTATGATACGCTTACACGAATTAGAGCAATGTACCTGCATCACGTACAGCAATAAACAAAATAAACTCTATTCGATGAACTGTATAAATATCATTGACCTCACAAGCCATTGCAGCCCTGGCAATTCAATTTTATTTTAGAGTTATCTGTTACATAACAACAGCTGTTTGATTACATAATACTCTCTTACAAAGCATACCACAATGAGCCACAGGATAATAATACATGTACAGTATATCTTAGTACTCTTTGTTATCCTAAGTGCGTGTACATTGTATGTATATGCACTTAAAGTATTGTCTATTGTAATTGTGTGTGGCTAATGATTGGAATGCCATTGTCTAAAGTGATTATTATTATTTATTGTATGTACATGTACATGTACATGTATGTACAGTGCATTCCTTTCTCTTCCTTTTAATTCAATATCATCACTTACATTGTACATGTACATGTACTTGTTCACATGTATTTACATGTACATGTACATGTACATATTTTTGTGCCTTTCATGAGATGAAGCATATGCTGTTTAGCATGCTTTGTGTGTACGGTAATCATTGACAAAATGTTTGTTAACATTTACAAGACTTGTTAACGTGTTCAAGGTGTTAAACAAGGTGTCAAAAAAATTTAAGATATATTTCTGACTTTTCTCTCAGCAAAGCTAACATGACAGTGCCTTCTCTCTCCCTTTCTCTGTCAGATATGTTGCTGTTAGGGTCAACAGGGAAGGTTCTTGGTCCAACTAACAGTAATTCAGGAGTCTCAGCTGTGGCTTATGTTACACTAACAAAACTAGTAGTTCCTCTTAAAGTGCTTAACATGGACGATCAAGAATTAAAGCTAATGAAACAGATAGTTCTCTTTAATCCAGGTACAGAGAGAGAGTGGGGGGGAGGGAGAGAGGGAGAGAGAGAGAGAGGGAGGGAGCCATTGTTGACTTATAAAGAGAGATAAGTATGCTAATCAAACATTATTGTCAAAGCTTATATAAAAAAGGTGTCTTAAAGGGATTGAGCTTTCTTTGATGACTGTTGTTTGTTGATGGAATGAGAATACATAGAATATCTAGAGGAAGTGACCGTGTGCATACTTCACTAATAATGATTATTATTATAATTCAATTATTTAATAACCCAGAGTCAAACTGTCTGAGAGACAAAGAGACTGTGAGGGAGTACAGAAAAAGGCGTCACATTGAGCTTATGGAATACTCTGAGCACAAACAGCCGGGAAGGTTTGGTGAGCTCTTATGCCTCCTGACCCCTCTCTATGAGGTGAGTACTGAAGTAACAGAGCAGCTGAGACTAGAGCAGTTTGTGCACGAGGGAGAGGCAAGGATCGATGCATTGCTCCTCATGTCTATGATTAATCAGGGGGGAGGGACCACGGAGGAGACTGTGGAGGCAGGCGATCAAGTTATGTGACTCTCTTTTTTTACGACGTTCTGATTGTGTTGATCATTTTTTAACTTTTATATTTGTCTCTACCCCCCTAATACCACCTCCTCTATTATCAACATTATATTGATCATAATTTATTATTATTATTATTATTATTATTATTATTATTATTACTATTTCTAGTGTTTTGCAATGGCTATATACTCTCCGTTTACAATTATCATTTTTCTTACATTTTTGTACCATTCGTGTGAATAGAAATTTCTAATTGTTACATAATGTATTAAGTTACATCATGTTTTTACTACAGTATAATGCTACAGAAAATGAATTTGCAAAAATATACATTGCACTTAAAATCGTTTGATATATTTTATAATAATAACAAAAGTACTAATTGCCGTAACAAACATCACAAAAGCATCTGAACCAGTTTATGTAGAGGCAGACAACATGAAGCAGGACAGCTGTACCGTAGCACCAGGACTGTATCTATAACTGTATCATCAGTCACGTCACTTGTCTCTAGTGATTGTAATCTAATAATTACAATATCAATTATTACAGGAACTATAACATACCAGTCTAGTCTGGCTATAAAGCATAGTGTCAAGCTAGCATGGCATAGTGTTGAATATAACATACCGGGTTAGTCTGGTTATTGTGTAGTATTGTTGATGACACTCATTGTTGACATAACAAATTATGAAATAAAGACATATTGGATTACAGTGTGTGAACTTTTACATTAAGATATTGAGAGAAGCAATTAGCAAATAAATAAATTAAGATTACATTATGAGAATATATTGTTGCTATGATAATAAGGATTACCATAGTGTTCACAATCAGGTTTCTATGGCAGCTGTGCCGTTGAGTGTTTTCACTCCGATTCTCAGTCTGCTTTCATCCAGTACTCTTCGATAGAGCGACTCAAGCATTTTATTGTGAGGTTTCTGTGACTATTATGGATGAATACAAACAAAAAGGTCAATCGCTCCCCGCAAACACAATAGAAAGGTCACACAAGACAATTGAGTACGCATGCTCACGTGTGAACCTTCTCGTCTATCTCTATACATATCAAATCCATCAATTTATCCTCTATACCCCACAAAAGGTTATAATAACATAGCCTTCCTGTTGCGAGATTCTGTGGACATATATGTACTACACAATACACATAATAACTTAATAAGAATATGGGCACCAGCTGTTATAGATTGTCTTAAAATTGCCTGAAGGCACTAACTGCCTGTGTGCATATGGCTGTAGTAACAAGGTTCAAGCATCTAGTAACAATAACTGGCAGTACATTGCATATGCCCACACATTGTGTGTACATGAGGATACCTGACCTGTGGTTAGATGACATCATATACCTGGTGCACCTTGTAAGGCAAACCAAAATTTAGCACTGTATGTAGCTATAATGAGGGTACATGTATTTTTGTACTGCATAAGCTTCATGGTAATTTGCAGGTGCAAATATTTGTAGGGCTTAGTGTTTGTTTATGCATTGATTGACAGCGGCATTTCTCTCTCCTTTAATCATTATCCTTCTTCCTAAGTATCTTTTCCTCTCCTCTTTCCTCCCACTTTCTCCCTTTGAATGTACATACACCATTGATAACAGAGCATAATGTACGAGTATTGACCAGTGTAGTATGGTAATTGATTGTTTTAATTTGATATAAATGTGTATAATTTATTATGTTATTAGTAAAGAGGAAGGAAGAGGAAGAAATAAGGAAGAGAGAGAGAGAGAGAGAGAGACGGAAAGACTAACTTTTAGCTCAATAATGAGAGCAAGAGCTTGAGACAAGTCGTTAGCTTTAATGGCAGCCTAAAACAAACTATCAATAACATCAGCTCTTCCTCTGACTCTCTAGAAAATTATAACTGGCTCCTATCGACATTGGATTTTTTAATGAATTTTTAAAGTTGCTGTCAAAGTCCCTGTACCATAGTACATGATCTCGAGCTAAATTTCGTCAAAAATGAAAAGTAGAGAATTCTCCATTTTTATAATTTTTCCTGATGCATATACATGTTCCTATGTTGTGTAGAAAGTTTGAGCTGATTCCGATCAAATTTGCATTTTTTATGAATTTTAAAAGTTGCTTCAAAATCGAGCCAAATTCCCTGTACTATAGTACAGGGATTTTGGACAAATTTTGCCAAAAATGAGTAGGAAAAAATTCTCCATTTTAATAATTTTTTCTGATACATATACATGTTTTAATGCTATGTAGCAAGTTTGAGTTGATTCCGATCAAAATTAGATTTTTCATGAATTTTAAAAGTTGCTCCAAATCAGGCCAAAGTTCCCATACTAAAGTTGTGTCAAAATAAAAAGGGAACGAATTTTTATTTTTATAATTTTTTTCTGATGCATATGCAGGTATTTATGTTGCATAGAAAGTTTAAGTTAAATTCCAATCAAATTTGAATTTTTTATGAATTAAAAAAAATTGCTCCAAAGTATAGTATAGTGATCAAATCCTGATAAACTACTGGTAAGCTTACCATTATAATAGTTAATTCAAATACTTGTCTTTGTGCCCAGCTTCCACCAAACTTGATGAAATCGTATCTCAGAGGAAGCATCAGTGACAGAACCTTATTAACAAAGTGAGAGGATTATTATATGCTATATATCTCACTTCATCATATTTTTCTTGTCCATAGGCTAATAATGCATTGCATACAGGCACACCTAACAGATCAGCAACACTGCAGTCACTTGATACACTCTCCTTTGAATACACCTCCATTGACTATAGCAAGAAAAATTATATATTATTATCAGTAATAATTTAATAATAGTCAGTTACTTGTATAACTTGATTTGCTAAAGCAAGTCTAGCAGTATCAGCAGTCACTTTACCATAGCACAGGGACATCATTAGGTGAGCATTTACCCTTCAATAATTATCATAATTATTAATAGCTGGTGGAGGGTACCATGAATGTGAGAAAACTCCAATCTTTGAGCGATAGGTATCTAAGATAACTTGCCATCTCTTTTCATCAGGATCAATGTTCAGCAACTGAACAAAAATCAACATACAATAAATAAATATAATCATTAGTAGGACCTTCATGATTGGCATACATTGAGTCTCCATAATAAAGAGGCTAGATCAACAAGATAAAAAACAGGTGAGCTCTTGCTTAAAAGTGGAACCATTTTTGCATCAAAAACATCCAAAACTTTGTCAGACTGGCCCAAATCTTTAAAAAACAACAAGTTTATTGTATAATGTACAGAGGAATAAATTATTATTTAATTTTAACTAACCAAGATAATACAGTGAGAGGTGCCAGAGGAGGTGAAAGGCGTATGGGGTCTTGTTCCAATCCTCTTGAGTTGAGCACAAGAAATCAACACCTTTCTGAGGATCCTTAGTCTCTTCAATGATGTGTGCTACATGCATAGAGAGGAGACTTGTGATTTATAAAAAAAATCTTATAAAGATGTACCCATAGTATGAGATGCCCATGGATTAATTGGTTGTAATGTAAGACTTTCCCTGCAAAGTTCCTCAGCATATTGTCTCTCATTGGTCTCCTCTAGAGAAAAAGCATACCTAAAGGATAGCAGTAAAGAGAGAGGTATAGTCACTCTGCTCCTTCTCTGACTAACTGGCTAAGAAGGTGAGGATAAAGTGGGTCCTCTTTAGGGCAGTGTGTAACTGCTCTTGAGAGGATGTTTCTCATTCTAATGAATTCCCCCGTGCTCTTGTAGTATAGGAATGAAAGTTTGACAGCATGAAAGTCTAAAAATTGATTTAAGAATACATGAAATTAAATTCAGCTCAAACTTTCTGCATAATGTATCAAGTGAGGGTTTTTTAATACTAGTATTTTCATTACCCTGAGGATATCTCATTGTAATTTGGTCGAGTATCTCCGTTGCTTTCTTAATATGACCTAGACTAGCTTCTCTGAAAGTTTGTATATGTAGCTTCTCTCTGTCATTAGCTTTTGGATAACATTCATTAACAACATCAAGATGCATTTTAACTGTTGAAGAGAAAGAGTAATTAAAAAGAGAGAGAAAGAGGGAGAGAGGATGAAAGAATTAAGTAAGAGAAAATATTGCTTGTGCACCTTCTGTAGGATTTGGTACAGAATACACGTCACATAACATGCAACCCTAATAATAATAATAATAATAATAATACATTTATTTATGGTACATATACATGAATCCTTACAAGTAGACATCTTGCAAGAATAAAATCATTCTCAATCTCAACTGCTCTCTTCACCAGGTCTATAAAGCTTCCCTTGTGATTTACAAACAGTTCCACGGCCTCATTGTACAGTTGGAGTGCTTCTGAGCTTGCAACACTTGAAACATACTCTGACCTCTTGTCTGCCATTTTAAAACTGAGTTGGCAGACTTTGCCGCCAAGTGAAGGGAGTGGTCATATTAATATTCATAGAGACAATCATTGTGTGGGAGTGGTCATTTGTTTCATAGAAAATTTAGAAAAATGGCCTCGATCATGAAAGACGTTTGTGGAAATTCTCTGACCTGCTCCAGTCCCGAGGCACTTAAACTATACAACCAAGCTCTGGGTCATTTTGTTAGCACTCGCTCTATATTTCTAAAGCCACTCCAGCGGGCTATAGAGCTTGAGAGTGGCTTTACCATGGCTAGATGTCTCATGGTATGCAGGAAATTGATAATTATTTGTTTATTTTTTTCTGTTTTTAAGGGCACTATCATGTGTGATCCATTTGTGAGAGACAGTGCTACAAGTAAATGATGTTTTAATTTTAGTGTATACATTTAAATGTGTAATAAAAATGGGGGATTCTCTCCTAACCATTTTTGACAAAATACCCCGTACTATATATAGTATTAGGCAACTTTTAAAAATTTATAAAAAATCCAATTTTGATCGAAATCAGCTCAAAGTTTTATGTTATACAATAAATCAATTCATTAATTTGTTGAAGTTATCAGTTCCAATTGGTAATTGTTAATAATAATAATCTCTTTATGGTCTTTGTACATCTGAACCACAAACCCTGTAATTGAATATTCTCTATCTCACTCTGACCACAATGTCATACATATGCATTTATCTGATCATTTATTTATTTATTTATTTACATTTGTTTATTATTGCTCATATTGATTAATTAACTGTATACCCAAAAGCTTATATATATAATTATTATTATTTATACATATAATAATCATATAAAACTTTAATTTTTATTACACCACACCACAGATGCAGAGTATTTGGATATCCTCAATCATGCATACCCAAATGCACTTGACAGGGAGAAGAGACATATTGAGGCATTTAAAGCACAGATAGAGGGTAACGTGCCCAAATCATCTGAACTTTATGATCAAATCACAATAAAGTATCCTAGAGGTATATATATATCATTATTTTGTGTGTTATTATTATCATTTGTTTTTCAGACCTTCAAGCTGTCAGGCTTGCATTTGGCGATTATTTAACGATTGGAGACTTTGAGAAGATGAGGAACATGATGTCAAGAGCCGTCATTCATTGTCCTAAGGATTTTGTCCTCTATCCATATGTATTGAGCCTGTAAATATATATCATTAGATTTACTTTTCATATCCTCTATTCATCTCTACTAGGTATGCCTTTTCTCTAGAGGAGACAAATGAGAGGCAGTATGCTGAGGAACTTTGCAGGGAAAGTCTTACATTACAACCAGTTAATCCATGGGCGTCTCATACTATGGGTACATCTTTATAAATATAACAAAAAAATATATATGAGTTTTTTTTCTCCTCCTTCCTATCTTTAAGCTCATGTGATAGAGGAGGTTTATAAAGCTGAGAAAGGAGTGGATCATTTGATATCAACAAGGCAGCATTGGAGCTCTTGCTTACTCTCACATCATATAACGTGGCATTTAACACTATTCTACTTTGGTATGAGAGAAATGTTCAACGATCACTTTTAAACAGTTTCCTATTCTCCTTTATTCATGCTATCAATTTTTACAATTGTCGTGATAATTATGAAGACTTGAATCAGACTGATAAGATATTGAAAGAGTTTGATCAGGTCATGGCTCCAAACATGAAACCTGGGAACATGTTTCAACTGTTGGATGCATCATCTCTTCTCTGGCGTCTCAATGTAAGCAGCTGCTGTATCTTGAAGTCCTCTGTGTGTGTGTGTGTGTATAGTAAACCATGTAAATGCATCGATTTTAATCACTTATCTTTTTTTTAAAAAGGTGATGGGGATTGATCCTGGCGAATCTAGATGGAAACTTGTTACTGAAGCATTTCAGGTTCAAGTGGGAAACCCCTCTCATTCATGGTAATGCAACATAACCTTACAATCCTTTGTTTTATAAAATAATTTGCAGGCTTGAAACTCACCTAATGATGTCCCTGTGCTATGGTAAAGTGACTGCTGATACTGCTAGACTTGCTTTAGCAAATCAAGTTATACAAGTAACTGATTATTATTAAATTATTACTGATAATAATATATAATTTTTCTTGCTATAGTCAATGGAGGTGTATTCAAAGGAGAGTACATCAAGTGACTGCAGTGTTGCTGATCTGTTAGGTGTGCCTGTATGTAATGCATTATTAGCCTATGGACAAGAAAAATATGATGAAGTGAGATATATAGCATATAATAATCCTCTCACTTTGTTAATAAGGTTCTGTCACTGATGCTTCCTCTGAGATACGATTTCATCAAGTTTGGTGGAAGCTGGGCACAAAGACAAGTATTTGAACTAACTATTATAATGGTAACAGAGTCAGAGGAAGAGTTGATGTTATTGATAGTTTGTTTTAGGCTGCCATTAAAGCTAATGATTTGTCTCAAGCTCTTGCTCTTATAATTGAGCTAAAAGTTAGTCTTTTATTTAAAATATTATTATTAGTTTTTTTACTTATTTCTCTCTCACAGTCTAAGAAACCAAACAGCAAGGTCCTCCAAAGACTCTACAATAAGATATCGTCTAAAGTTGCTGCCAAGAATTAACTAAACAACACATATTTAAATATTTTTGCTTTTATTTTTTTGTTATTATCAACTCTCATTGAAACCAGAGGTGATTCATCAACCAGAAGTAAAGACTAGCATTATGTGTTTGAATCACATGAGAAAAGTGTAATATTTTATCAATTGTTTTTAGCAGCTAAGTTTTAGCTGATGACGCAAATATGCTGTACAAAAATTTTTTTTATCCAGCAATTTTAATAATAATAATAATAATAATAATAATAATAATAATAATAATAATAATTTACAACATCAAAAAATGTATTACGTATTAATTTAATTATTAAGTCACACACAAAAAGCACAATAAAACCAGACATGCTACACCCATTCTCAAACCACGCCCCCAACACCGTTAACAACAATATAACTCGAGAATTGCCACCTTTGATGCAACAGGCCAGAGGAGCTACTGCCAGAAAGACATGCCTTCACACGGAGTGAATTCAAGCAGTAAGTCCCAGGGGAAGAGAAGGCTGCATGTAAAGTTAAAGTTTTATGAGAAAGAGAATCCATTGTAGTATTGATCTTCGACTGTCCCAACCACTGGAAGTGGGACTCCAAAGAACGAACACTAAGAGAGAGAGAAAGAGATATTAATTAATCTAAAATGTAAATAATTCTAATATATTCATAGCATAATACACATTCACCTCCACCCCCAATACAATCAATGGACTCACCCAATGGCAACCTCAGCAGTTCGGAGTGTTTCAATCATTACGTTGACTTGAGATGTCGTGCAGTTCTCAAGGGTCAGGTCCACTTGTACAATACACAATGGCTTAGCTGAGAAATCGTGCGAGACACAAGACGGGTACTGCAAAGCATGTCTGACCAGATCATAGGGTGAAGGGGAGATGAGACTGGGTATGGTTTGTGGTTGTGGCTAAGATATAGAGTAAATGGACTTTATTGTCTTAAAGGTGCTTACCTGGGTTAATATGGCTGTGGTTTGTGGTAAAACTGCAGTAACTGACTGCTGGCCAAACTTGACACCACCTTCCTCCTCTAAGGCTGGAACAGTCTAAAGAGGATCATAAAGAGAGGTTTGTTGGCATACGCGTAATAATGAATCTTAATTGTACCTCCCAAAAAACTGTGAGGCACATCTTATTCTCAGAGAGTCCTCCTCCTCCTCCTGTAGGATCCTTCCTTTTTAAACTATTAGTGAAACTAGAGACAATATCTTTATAAGAGTCTGTTGATGATATTAGGACATTGCATGGATACCCTGAACTATTGATCTGATGGAGGAGGCAAATAAAACAAGAGACAGACATGTACATGTACACATACCATCTTGTCTGAGAGTGAAGCATCAGAGTAGAGGAGGTGCTGTGTGTTGGATTCACTGATGTCTCTTGTAGCATGCAAATATACTACTTGAGTCTGACCAGGAGATATCAATATACCTGCATTAGTATAATAATAATAATAATTATTATTATTATGAATTTTTAGTTTCCAAGGTGTCAATACCTTTTCTTTGTTCCTGTAAAGCTTCTAGTCTCCAGCTGTAACTAACCGAAGAGACCTGGTTGAGTTTAAAAGTGATCTCTTGATCACTGTCGCTGCTCAATTCAACTGTCACTAATAATCTATTAAGATCTTGTCTGAAAGAAAAAAATGATTTGAGAGGCACACAATATTTCAGACTTACTTGTCAATATTCCAATTCTGACTACTAGTGCAGGACACATTAACAGAAAGCGATGGCTTTAAACTTATCATTTCGCCATGCCTTAGTGATCTACACCTAAAGAATTAAACTAAAATAAAATTATAAATAAAAGGTGAATTTTACTTCATAGAACTTTTTTGATTAGAGAGGCTATTTTGAACCGGAGGTTGGAGCAGGTGAGGCTCGTAGTAAAGTATGAAGAGATAAGAGAGTTCCGAGTCATCAGAATGAGGAGTGGAGAGTAAGAGCTGGGCTGTGTGAGTCTCACCAGGAGAGAGGGGAGGGAGGGAGGAGAAGGGGAGGGAGAAAGGAGAAGAGAGAGAGGGGGAGACCGGAGAGAAAAGAGATTGAGTGCTGCCATCAGTAGTTGAATATATATCGGTATCATTGGAATCATCCTGTAATGGTTCATGCTATCATAATTCTAAAAATAGTATCAAGTACCTTCCTAAGAACATGATGTAATGATGAAAGGAGTCTAATATTAGTAACAGGGCTAGTGCTATAATTGGTGATGGAGAGAGTGAGGGTTAGTATTTGCCCAGCTAACAAAGGTTCTTTTAGTCCATTCAATAATAGCTGTATCGAAAATAATAGAATAATAAAATGGTCTATTCGCGTACCATTACTCTAGGCATTGGTTGGATAATCTTCCAACATAGCCTGTTGTCTTCTCCATACACTTCCCCCATCCTTTCAGTCTTTGTGTTATTCAGTCTCAGACCCCTGCACACAATATTCAGCCTTCCCTGGAACCCTTGGCTAAATAAAGGGTCTTCTGGTCCCCCGAGGGTCTCCTCCCATACACAGAGGTTATAGAGGAGGCCAGTGATACTGACCGAGCCTGTTCTAACCGGCAACACCCAAAAAAATAACTGAAAAGAGTGAAAAAAATTATAAAAGTGGGCATTAATTAGAACTCACATGTTTCTTTTCCTTTGGCCGCAATATAAAAGAATCAATGACCTGACAGTAAAGAGCATCATCGAACAACTCATCCTAAACCACACCCACAAATTAGTATAATCATTAATGAGAGATTTGTTACCTCGTTAGATTGCGTGGGTGGGGTATAATTCCAAGAGAGAGTGATGTTTCTCAATAGCATGGGGACTAATAGCGGGTTCTTCACAGCCACACCTACTCTTATCACCTCTAAATAATAATAAAAAACAATTGCAGTTATTATAAACCTTTATTACATGTACAACAGCAGGTACTCCACGTACATGTACAATGATTATAAAATGTGGGTTTTCGGAGTTTTCTCTTCTTAAAAAGTGCTCATAACTCCAGAATTCAAGCTCGGAATTAGCTCAAACTTTTTACATAGCATAAGGACATCAATATGTATCAGAAAATGTAATAAAAATTTGGGGTGATTTCGGAGTCATTTTTCGGAAAAAACCATGGGCTATATAGCCTTGGGTATTTTTCAAAATTTTGGCACTTTCTAAAATGGCCGTAACTTGAAAAATTGAAGCCAGAATCAGCTCAAACTTTCTACACAGCATAAGGACATAAATATGTATCAGAAAATGTAATAAAAATTTGGGGTGATTTCGGAGTCATTTTTTGGAAAAAACCATGGGCTATAGCCTTGGGTATTTTTCAAAATTTTGGCACTTTCTAAAATGGCCGTAACTTGAAAAATTGAAGCTGGAATCAGCTCAAACTTTCTGCACAGCATAAGGAGTTTAAGGACATAAATATATATAAGAAAATGTAATAAAATGGGGTATTTGCTAATTCACATGTTCTAGTACATGTACATCGTACACACTCATGAGTGGTGGCATACCATTAATAGGGCATAATGGAGTCACTGAGTTATCAGAGAGTATATCCATATATAAAACAGGTCCTTCTCTCTCGGACTCGCCAAAATACTGATGCTCCAATCTACTCATCTCCTCCCTCCATCTCTTGGGGTTGTAAGGATACACGCCCACTGCTAACGAGTCGCTAGGCAATGGAATCGAATGGGAGGAGTCGGTGATGAGGTGAGAGAATGAATCAAAGGGAGAGGAAGAGGAGGAGGGAGGTGTGAATATTCCGTTGTCAAAAGTAGTGACGGTTATGTGAGAGAGGAGGAAAGGGAGAGGGAGAGGAGAGAGAGCTGAGACAAGCTTGTCAGAGGACTTTGATGAATATGGCAAGGAGAATGAGAACTGTTTTGAATGTGACTGAGCTAAAAGAGACTGAAAAGAGGAAAGGAGGAGGAAAGAGAGAGAGAGAGAGAGGATTATTATAATAAAAGGAAGAAGGATAGAAGACTAAACAATAAACAAACAAAATAAACTTGTACACATACAAAATTAACAAAAAATAAGATGACAAATACAGCATGAGCATGTACATGTAAATTTCACATACACTAGTTAATCATCATATTAACAACGGCTTACTCTTTTAACATATACAAAGTCTTTTAAGTTTGAGAGCTGCTGTTGGAAGGACTGGGAACACTCGTGAGAGAGAATCTCTTGGAGGGAGAGACAAGCATTTTCCGGAGACTTTACGGAAAAGAATAACTTCCCACAGCTATAGTGAATGAAATCCTATGATAAAATAATAACAATAATAATATAATAATAATAATAATTTAGTTACATTAGCCATAGTCCAATCCTTTCCTTGATAAACGGCAAGTGATTGCATATAAACTCTAATGGCATGCCAGTCCTATCAAGAGGAAGAGATGAGTATCAATGTATCATTGTTAGTGTTGCTCTTCAATATGTACTTGTCCAGCTCTTGAGAAATGGTGTCCTGCTAGTACCAAATGAAATGCATATTTCCGTGCCATTGGAAGAGGAGAGACTCTTAAGAACGATTGGGCAGCTTGTTCCAGGCACAGGGCACTGAGCAATTGATTATCCTAAAAATATACCAATAAATTACAGAGGTATACTGAAATATACTAAGTACATGTAAATGCATATATGTACATGTACAAGTACCTCTCCAATTGTTTTGATCATTTGCTGTGAAAGCTCCTGATACTTCCCTCTCTCTTTCAAGACTCCACAAAGAAAGAAAGAGGTCCTAAGAGACTGCAGTGGAAGACTGTAGAAAAGAAGAAAAAAAAATTAATATAATAAATAAAATAATAATCATTATTGTGTCTCTTACCTCAAAGTTTTAGAGTAAATATGAGTGGCCTCCTCTAGGTACGATTGAGTCTCTTTACGAGTATATCCCAACATCTGAGCTGAGAGGGCAGCCATTTCCTAATAAGCAAATAATAATAATATTATAATCATCACTATTGTTATTATTATTATAATCATTTTAGTTATTATATCTACCAGTGCTCCTGCATAATGTATCCAGAGGTCTTTCCCTTGTAAATCTCTCTTCAGTGTATGGTGCATGTCAAATGCTAGCTCGTAGTTCTGCAATAGAAACGCCACATCACCCACCAACCTCATTAATCGCTCCACAGAATCGGCACTTAGACTACAAAAGGAGATTTTAATATATTATTCTAATTAGTGCTCACTTTGACTCTTCATTGCCCTTTGATGACAAGTTATTGGAGGATCCTCCCTTCCCTCCTCCTCCTCCGCTACTCCCTCCTCCTCCTCCTCCGAGCATTTTAAACCACACCCCTCGCGAGAAGTTTGAGACTCTCCTTGTCATAGTACGCCTACTCTGTAACTAAAAATACGATTATAGGTTTTCATAATAATCTCCTATACTAACTGATTCATTTAGTTTTCTCAGCACAGCTGTCAAATGTGATAGTAGTTTCCCGGTAAATTCTTTCACAAAATTCCTCAGTGCGTTTTGATCGTTTAAGCTAAGACACTCCCCTAAACTGATGCCCCGCCCACTTTCAATTTCTCCTTCCTCCTCTTCCTCAACAACAAAAGTCAAAGGATCTTCACCCAATTCAACCTACAAATGAAAATAAATCAAAAATATTTGTACTTATTAAAAATGTACTTATTATACTTACATCAACTGAGGCAACACTAGTTGAACTGCTTGATTTGAGTGGGCCTTTATTATCTTTATTATCTTTATTAGTTTTATCATTTCCAGTCGGATTGCTGGTGCTGTCTTCTAACATTACCATCACTTTCTCCTCCTGTACATCATTGACAGTGCTCAGGGGAGTCAGGGAGGAGTTCATAGCCCCTGGTTGGGTGTGGTTACCAGTAGGAGTCAGGGCCTGTTCCTTGGACGACAGGTTGGACCTGGATCGCGGTATCTTTTTCTTACGCTGAAACCGTTTGAAATGAAAGTCAGTTTCATCCTAAGGAAAAGATAAGTTTATCAATCTCAACTTAATTCACCAGTCAATAGAAACAATTTCCATTTTAAAATTAATATTTGGCAGGAGCTTAGAAATGAAAAACTCAATCAACATACCACTCCTTCAGTGGGCGGAGCTGATGGCACTCTAAGAACTCTGCTCCATGGTTCCGGAGTGGCTCCTCCTCTTCCGCTGCTCTTCTGTGAAGGATCATGTGAATTGATGGGGAGGAAGCAGCAAGTACCGGACCCATAGATTGACTTTATAGCCTCAAACATTTCCTTAGCACTGTAAGGAAGATGAGAAAAGAGAATGTAAAGAGATAGAAAACCAAAAAATTAAATAAATTGATATCAGACCACCTCCATTTCTCCTTACTAGTTCATATCTCCTTCAGTGACATCATGAAGGAAGATGTGATAATAATAAAGATGGTGGGAGGACAGCCAGTAAGGATGAGAGTTGGATTGTTTTTCTTCTCCTTTTTGTATGCGATAAAGGCTTTGAAATGCTTCAATGGGTTTAGAATGACGAGAAGAAACAACCAAGACAGCTGGAAATAGAAAGAAAAAGATAAACGAGAGAGTATATACACATAAATAACAAGATATGTTGCAATTCTTACCTGCCACATAATGACGGAAGTATTCGTGTTCCATTATCGGTACGTTGTCATGGTAGCACTCACAATAGTGATCGAACCAAGGAGTGGTAGCTAGAAACAATATAGAAAGACTAATATGAAGAAGCTGATTGTTTAGTGAGTGTCAAAATGACTAAAAATATCTCATTGTAAAGGAACACTATTCAGTTTCATTGTAGTGCAACAAAAAGAGAAAGCAAACGCATACAGAACAATAAAATTGGTACCCCCAAAAGGACAAACAACAACAATAATAATAATAATAATATTAATAATAATATTTTAATGCTAATAATAATATTAGTAGAAAATAATTGTACCTGGTACTTTGATATCTCCGATTGATAGCATAGGGCCACTGGGTCTCATGATGCTCTTTGAGGGTGTGGCAGAGTCCGGCCCTCTCTCGGACCAATGGACTGTCTGACTCAGCAGTTCTTCCGTCACTTCAGAAGATGTGGGCTCCGGGCGTGGCTCTGAAAACCGGACGCTGAGATCTTTAGCCGAATACAAATGACCCGCTGGATCTTGCAATGGAGCTGAAATGATAATATAAAATAATAGACACACAATAAGACTCGATGATTAGTACCGCCCCCTGCATGTACATTCAATAATTAGCCCCTCCCCCTAATTAGTACCTCCTATTGCCTTACTTTCAGCAGCAAGGGTGCTGAAGGGTTTCAGCATTTCGCTGAAAGAGAGGTAATTTTTACGACAGAGATCTTCAGCATCTGCTGACACCCTGAGACCAACTTGGAGTCCACAGACCCTCTTCACATGAGCAGGGAAAGACGAGGAAGAGTCGGCCATTTTAAAACATAAAGGAATAGGCTCTGTCTTTAAATGGGCTGGGCTGCCAGACTAAAGTCCTTTTACAAAAAACTCCCTCAATTGAGTTTATTTATCCTCTTCCCTCCTCTTCAGTTCTTTGTCTTAATTTCTGGCCCCTCTTTCTAGGCCTTTTTTTTTCCTTCTCCTCCACCCCCTCTTGAGCTCTAGGATTAATGGGCGTGGCTCAACACGTGGTCCCACAACCTCACGTGAGAGTCACCTGACCTAAAAATTAAGGTGTGGTCCAACACGTGTAGAATAATCACGTGAGCATCACGTGCTGTGCTGAGAGTGACTGGTCACCCTCAAATCTTTTCTCTTCTCTCCTGTGTTGTCTCCTCCTGCTCCTCCTCACCCCTTCTCTCTTTTTCTCATCTTATTAGGTGCAATTTGAGAAGAAACGTGAGTAGCTGCAGGTCTCCTCATTTTATCCTTTCTTTCCCTGCACGCACCATCAATAACGCACTATTTCATTAATTATCTTCATTTGCCCCTTTCTTCTATGTTACCTCCTCCTATTGTTCCTCCTAGTTTTAATTATGTCATCACTGAAGACCCCTCAAGTTTTAGAGTTAGATCCACCTACAGAGCTTATATTTAGAGGTATATATTTATAATTAATTCTATCATCGTTAACGAATAATCAGCTGAAATGATATATTTTGCACCGTTGCATGCTCAGATCTAATTTATAACTGTATGACGCCTTTCTCCTGTATAAATGGATAAAACTGTGATAATGCATATGTTTATCACAGCGCATACTTTGTATTAGCATGCTTTTTAAAATGATTCCTGCTTCTTATATTACCAGCTATGTTTTCCTATTGCGTATATGATATCAGTATATCTCAGTATATTATTAGGTGTCTCTTGTTGATACTTTGTATTTTAATGTTTGTAACATGATATTGATGCATGTTACATTACAACCTTCATTATTGTAATTAAGTTGTTTGCTTCTTTGATTCTTTCTCTCTCTTTCTTTCTCCCCTCTCCCGCCCTCTTAGGTCCATTCAACGAAATTGTAACCACATCTCTTAAATTAACTAATCCTACGAATGAGAAGGTCGGGTTTAAGGTAAAGACAACGGCTCCTAAGCAGTACTGTGTTCGGCCAAACAGTGGAATCATTGAATCACACGATGAGCAACAAGTATCAGGTATTTTGATCTACTTTACATGATATTGATTATACAATAAAGAATGAGCTCCTTTTCTATTCATGTTAGTCTAAATATCACCTTTATGATGTCTCTATTTCTAAAATAATCAGTTGTTTTACTGGTCTAATAATTTATGTTATATTTTCCCATGATAAGTAGTTATGCTTCAGCCATTGGAGGACATACCTTTAGCTGACAGAATGAAGCACAAGTTCATGGTCCAGTCAATGTGCGTTGATGACTCAATAAGTCCTGATATACTGGATGACGCTGTAAGCTAAGTTGTAGAGGATGCAGCCATTTTAAACTTCCTTTTATAGATGCGGAAAGCTGACAAGAAAAAGCTAATGGATTCCAAACTTAAATGCTCTTTTGTTGAAGAGGATATTGCAGAGCAGGTTTGCAAGACTCATCTCCCATTTTCTTAGTTACTCTCTCTCTCTCTCTCTCTCTCTCTCTCGTTTCTAGCCATCGTCCAGTAAAGCGGACACCATCTCCGCCTCTTCTTTTGAGAGCAGTGAACATGTTTTAGCACCCGATAATAAGAGCAGTGAAGCTTCTTTAGATAACGTAAGTAATGAGAGAGAGGGATGCCAGATTAATTTTTGTCATTTATTTTGCAGACGCCAGTTACGACAATTACTCCGTCTGAGCAGCCAACTGCTGGCTCTACCCCTGGACACAACACAGGAAGGGAGGTATGTCATTGGCTTCCTTTATACCTATTAACTCTAATCTCTCTCTCTCTCTCTCTCTCAAGGGTAATCTAGAATCAGAGCATGTTGAATCAGTACGTTCTCTCTCCTGTGCTTTATTCATGTTATTATTGTGATGACATTTTTCTTTTTTAGGAGCTCAGACTTCTCAGAGATAGAGCAAAGAAATTAAATGAAGAGAACAAAACACTTAAAGTGAGCGTATGTATATCTACTTGACCCGTTTTTAAAATAATTTTTTCTGCCTCGCCCCTTTCTTTCAGACCGAGACAGATCGACTAAGGCAGCAGTTCCTCACACAATCAACAACTGTTAACAAGCCGAACAGAGTGGCTACGCCTCCCTCATCTAACTTTGCCGTTACGCCTTTCAACGCCTTTGCGTTGCTTCTTATCTTCATTGCTTTAGTAATGGGATACATTATAGGATCAAGTTCTTCTGCTTGATAATTGAATTGATGGAGAGAGTCCCGCGATATCTTTATTTTAATTTATAATATTCTTCTTTCTCGTCTTTTATCTTATAATAATTTCCAAAAATAGAACAAGATGTGTGGAGAAGGAGATGCCGTCCTTCTTTCTTATCTAATCTCTTCTTTTAATAATGAACTTGAAAGTTCTCTCTCTCTTTATCTAGTTTAGTAATTATTATTATTGTTATTAATTTCTTATACAGTATGTGCATTCATGCATTGATGTGTATGTTTTGTGCTTTGAATTGAGTAAATATGATTTCTTTAATAATCATGCAAATACGCATGTACCTTGTTCTTACAGAGTTATTTAAAATGGAAGTATTTTCTTTTATTTGTTTGAATTATGTACATTGGTTAACTATACAAGAGTTTTGCTAGTAGGAATTATTAATTTGAATGTTGTCTAAAAATACTCAATTAAAATATTTATTACTAATACAAGGATTAAAATCAGAAGCAAAATATAATATCTCATGTCCATGGCATAGAGTTTAAAATTTGATGATTAATAAAAAATATATTGATTTCCTGTATCTTTATAAATACTTCCTCCTTTTGAGTCCATTTTGAACGGCCAGTTTGTTGTTGATGCTGACAAGAATGAGCGAGTAATGGTCGCCTCTCTCTTCAAATAGCTGAGTAATCTGTTGCTCTCTGTCTCTGTCTCTCTCAAGCAGTTCAGCTCTGAAAATAATATAATGAATAATAATTATTAAAAAATATTATTATAAATAGTGCTATATCAATATCAATTTTTCTCACTTGCTTGGCCTGCCACGACCTCTAGGCTGATGAAGTCTGAGCTGATGGTTATTAAAGGATGATGATGATGCTATTGAAGATGAGGAGCTGTTCACATTGATTCTTTTCTCTTCCCCTCCTACTCCCTTTCTTTCTTCCTCGNCAGATCTAGACCTGCTCTTTCTTTCTCTAAGAGTCAACGCTGGCTCCTATTAATATATGAATTAAAGCATTAGAATTTAAATGTTCACTTTCTCAGCTTCTTTCTGCATTTTTGTTTACATTAGCCAAAACCACGCCCTCTAAAGTAGAAAAAGACACGCCTATTCAATTATCACCTAACCACGTGTTCATTTTCACCTTTAAACTGTCATGGCCGCCATATACATTCTTTTTGCTTCCTTTTTTCTCTCTCTGCCTCTCTCTCAAGCCGGTGTTGTTGACTTGACAAGCAGTAATTTTGACCAGGTAAATATATTTTGACTTGGTTTATTATTATTATTATCAATTTTGTTATTGCATGTAGGTTGTTGATGGCTCAAAGGCTGCATTTGTCGAATTTTATGCTCCATGTAAGTATATAAGCTGAAAAATTCTTTACTATAAGCTGTGTATAATTTTGAATGCATGCCATCGCTTTGTTTTAATTTTACGAATTTAATTGCATGAGCACTATGCCAAAATCCTGTGAGAAACCTTGATCTGACTATGGATCTGAATAATTTTAACACAACTCCATTTTAGGGTGTGGTCATTGTAAGAGGCTAGCTCCCGAGTATGAGAAGTTAGGTGCTGCCTATGAGGGATCCAATGATGTTGTCATTGCTAAAGTTGATGCTGATGCCGACAGAACTCTTGGAGGACGTTTCGGAGTCCGTGGATTTCCGACTCTAAAATTTTTTCCAAAGGGATCCACAACACCTGAAGAGTGAGCGTGTGGAGCTTTTTAAATTCATTTATTAATTTTTATTATAGTTATAATGGTGGGCGTAGTGCTGATGACTTCATTAAATTCATTAATGAAAAGACAGGTGTGTTTAATAATGCTTACTGTATTAATTATAATACTGCTCTCCTAAGGATCTAATGCTGGGATTAAGACTCCGCCTAGTGATGTAGTAGTCCTTGATCCATCTAACTTTGACTCCGTTGCTCTTAATAAAGACAAAGATGTCCTCGTTGAGTTTTATGCCCCTTGTCAGTAAAAATGTGTTTGTACCTATTTATGTGATTCTGTTGTTCATAGGGTGTGGTCATTGTAAAGCTCTCATCCCTGTTTATGAAGAAGTTGCAACTACTTTTAAGAATGATGAAAATGTATAGTGTGTGAATTTGTAAAGTAATTTTTATGTCCTTTTCTTTTTAAAGTGCATTGTTGCTAATGTTGATGCTGATGGTCACAGAAGTCTAGGAACCAAGTGAGTTCTTTTGTACTTGATCTCTTTAATATTTTTACTTTGTGTAGATACGGTGTTAGTGGCTTTCCTACCATCAAGTTTTTCCCTAAAGGCAGCACAGAACCAGAAGATGTAAGAAGATTATGTTTTTAGACACTTAGTTAACTCTCTATCTCTCTCATCAGTACAATGGTGGCAGAGGAGTTGATGATTTCATCAAATTCCTTAATGAGAAGTGTGGCACACACAGAGTAAAAGGTGGATCACTATCTCCTGAGGCAAGTGTCCCTTTTCCTTACCCTTCCACCCCCACTCTCTCTCCCTTTTAGGCTGGACTAGTTGATGAACTCAATGACTTGGCAAAGAAGTTCATGGCTGAGGCAGATTCTCGTGAATCCATTTTAGAGGAAGCACAAACCAAAGCACAGGAACTGGATAGCCCTCAGTAAGAGCGAACTGACGTGTACCCTATTGCATATATTGATACTTAGAATTTATGATTTAGTCAACCTCTTGTAGGATATCATAACAAATAACAACAAACGTAATGTCTATCCCCATCTCTCTCTATCTCTCTTTTCCTCCCTCAGGGCTGACTATTATGTTAAAGTGATGAATAAAGTCCAAGAGAAAGGAGATTCTTATATTGAGACCGAGAGTGAGAGATTAGGACGTATGGTTGGTAAGTCAATGGAATGTCTTGAGTCCATGTTCTCTGTTTGTTTTTTAAGATGGTAAGAAAGTGAGTGCCAAGAAAAGCGATGAGTTCACTAAGAGGAGGAATGTCCTGAGGAAATTTGAACTCTAAATAGTAATAAAAGTGCCAAAATTTTGTCGTTTTTTGTGTAGCTTTACAATCTTTTGATGCTATTAATTTCCTTTTCTTTTATTAAAACTAAAAGGTTATCAGTAATCTACACACCATTCTACAGTTCTAAGTGACTATTAGGAGCTTAATTTTCAGTACTTAGCAGTTTAATAATTATTGTGATTAATACCATGGATAGGCTGAATAGGGCCTGCAATAAGGTACAATAATTTAATAGTGTGTCATTAATGGCTCCTTACCTTCTTGTGGCCCTGTATCTATTGCTATGAAAAGATAAGGATAGATGTAACATTTTTATTAGTAATTCTTACAATATAGTGGCGGGCATTGGTCTCTCAATCTTGGTGATGGTGTGATGTGGTTTATCTTTTATTGTCAGTGCAACCTATAGAAGTTAGTTATGTATTCACTAAATAATGCTGCTCCTTTCTACCTTCCATGATGCTGTTATATCAGGATGGAGTTTCCTCACGTAGAGATTAGATGTAATAGGTTGAATGACATTATTAGAGTCTTCATGCTCTGTAAGAATCAATGAGTGTGTGTGTGTGTGTAACATGTTCATATATAATTGTTGATGGTTTACCGATTTTTTGAATTGGTGGTGTAGGCTCCTTTCTCAGTTGCTGGAGTGTTTTATTCCATTGTTTAGTGTAAGGAGAAGTGTTACTATAATCCAGAATATTAAGTTTTCCCCTCATTTATGTTCATTCTTACTTTGCGTTCTTTAATGTTTCATAAGTCTCAAGTTTCTCCTTTGTTTCGTTTGTAACCATACTCTATATATAAATAAAAAGAATTTATATCGTCGTTGACATGTATACTGCATCTATGTAATGGTAAACATGTCTTTAAGTGCGTCTATGGAGTGTATTAATGATTAACATTTCATCAATAATAAAAACTTCATTCATAGCATTCTGGAACAAATAGAAATAAACAAAATGAATAGGTTCAATCCTATGGTTGCTCTCACTGACTCAGTACAGCTGAACTGTTATATTTGGACAATAATCATGATGATGATGGCTATGGTATATTGTTCCTTTCAAAGGAAAAAGAACTGTGACATCCTCTCCCAACAGAGGAAGTATTCATTGCATTTACATTTTCACTTAGCTCATTCCTTAACACCCTTACCTTGCAGTGTAAGTTGGGAGCACCGGGATATCTTGTTGTTCTTATTTTAGTAAAATCATCTAAAGCAAACAATCATAGTCTAAAGTACTTGTTCATAACCTAACCTTTCACGCAAAAGGTCGTGTGGCGCGAATGCTCGCTAGAGAGCCTGTGCCCAACTGTGTCCATGTCCATGCGTCTCAGTGTGGGTAGTTGTGGATGGTAGAGCTGATGCTTGACGCTTGCTAGCTGCCTCAAAGATCTTCGCTCCTCCATGATGATGTCTGTTTCTCCTATCTACCGCCCACGCAATTGCAATACTCGTGGGCGTCAGCTAGCCAAGGTGTTTGTTTTTAATTAATTTCTAAACCTGCCCATTATTATCTATTGGACTGCCTTCCAGCCAAACAAAATCTCCCAGAGTCATCACTAGGCATTGGACCTCATTAGTGCAGTGCAGAGCACAAGCTCTTACCATCATGTTTGCGTAATACATTGCCTGGCACAATGTACGCTCAAGCCCGGCTCATGGTTTTACGTACAGAGATGGTTGTACACATGTATATACAAGATGTAAAGGCTTCTTATGGTTTCATTTTAATGCATTCCCTCTCTTGTACCAGTTGCAAACAATTTAGTCTAAATAATAAAAAAAAACTAATACTGTAGGTCAGGTTATATTTGCGACAGTAAAAACTAATAAATAATTTATGCATCATGGTACTATCATGCATTTCACAGATCAAGTTTATAGTTGAATTAATGTCTCACTCTCCTTCCAACGTGATCATCACATGTTACTTGTATCATGCTTAGCATTTTTTTATTGGAACAGTCATCTCTTGGTAAAATGATGCTGCTAGTTTACATTTTTATGTTTCTTGCAACATAATCCTTATTTGCATGTTTAACTTCACTAGCATCAAGAGGTAGTTACCAGTAAACAGCCCCCGATAAGCAAAATTTAATCCCTCTGTGTAGGGAGGGCCAGAAAAAAATTTTGTATACAAGCTGGGGATTTCCCTTGTAGCATCTATACTTTTAGTATTGGGTTTAGCTTACATTGTGTGCTATGGTGGTATTGCCAGTTATCACAAGGCATTAATTTCTACAGAACTATTTAAACACCTTATCACTGTTTTCATCTCAATTTGTCCCAGGTGGTTCCTGTGCCAGTAACTGAGGAAAGTGAGATGCTAGTCTCACTATATAAAGAGAGACACGGATCATTAGTCGATCATAGAAAAAGTAAAGCAAGAGAACTACTACTACAGGTATACAGATAAACTTGAAGTACCTCTTTCTCTCTCTTATCAACTCAACCAATCTGAACTCAAGTGTGAAGAATATCATGGCCCAATCTACAACTATTCAAAGATTTCTACTGATGTTTTGCTGTTGCTATTGCACTTTCGCAGCCCCTCTCAATGTAATTATAAATCCAGGCGATGGTATTAATGTTGGACCTGTTACTCCGATAATGAATGCTAAAACTGCACTCAATCTCTTTATCCAGGCTGAAGAAACCATGCAGATGTGTAAAACAATTGAAGATAGGATTATTGTAAGTCAATAGACTATTGCAATCCGATCATTTCTCACTATTATACAGGTCCTAGCTAATGACTCAAGCATTGAATTACCTAACTTCATTAACAAGTATTGTTATTTTCAAACTTTTGTTGGCAGCAGTGATTGCGATGCCTCAGTATGTTGCAAAATATTATTTATCATAAATAAATCATGTTCTATTGTATAGGATCCAACCAAATTAAAAGGTGATCTCCAGACTCTTCTAGATTCCAGAGCACTTCTGTATCTTGTTATTGAATATCAAGAGTCTCTTCTGCCCAATGATGATTTCTTCCTTACTTTATCACTTGGACAGTTTCAAAATAAACTGGATGAATTTATTTTGTCTTTCAATACCACTGTAAGCTTGATAACAATCAGAAATGATAATTAATTATAATCTATAGCTTAATCCTACAAGCATTAGCTCTTCTGGCGATGACAATTCAAATGGCCTTCAAATCCCTCCAACTGGCAATCCTTTTTACCAGCAAATAACTACACCAACCCCTGGAGGGGTATGTTCACAGTTGATATACTTCTGTATCTAACCCCCTCTCTCTCTTTTATTAGAAACCTTCTCATTGCTACAACTGCACAACTCTGGCCGATCAGTATCTAAACATAAAGGAGTTACATACCATTCTCCAGGTCACAACTTCTGATATAGGTTGTGTAAAAGATGCCATAAATTCTCACAGCACTGATGACAGCAATTAAAAAGAAAGGATGACTGGTTTAATTGTAGAACTTTTATTATAATATTTAGAACACAGGTGAAATTTTTTTAAAAGATAAAAAATTAAAATAATAACTGTGAAAACAACATGCATTATAATACACACCAGAGAAATCTTTCTGGGTACAGCAAAACTATTTCTTTACTTCAAAAATGCTGTCAATGTTTTCTAAAGTGTCTGACACAAGTTTCAGTACTTCAATCCCATGGCATAATTCCCTAGAGATGCAAAGGAAAAGCCACATCATTATTCCTCTCATTTCTCTTTCTAAATCTCTCACTTTATTTGTAAGTCAGCTTTATAAGAAGCTGCCTTTAGCTGCTGTGAGGCATTGTTGGCTTTCTCTCTCACACCAATGATAAGATCCTCATAGCTTTTATGTATTGCCTGGGGATTCGCTTGTCCCAATTGAGTCTAAAATTGAATAAAGCATGGTGCACAAGTACAAAATGATAAAGAGCAGATTGCATAAAATTTCATGGTATGGAGCAATACCATAATTATGTATAGGTTGGTAGAAGTAATGTCATAACCTTTTGAAACAATCACACTCTTTAGGCTTTCGTAAGAAACTCTTTCACATTCGATTTAACAAAGTAAAACTACATTTTCCTAATCATTCCACTAGTACAATAAACAGGGCAGTCTCAAATGGATATCAATGCTAAATCAAGATTTTGTCTTGACTGAGCTAGTGATAATCATATTCCAGTATTACAAACTCATGAAGCAAAAAACACAAACACTATGAGGTATGTCTCATGATGATAGCCATTAAAACTGACTTGTAAAGATGCTATTTGCCCTTTCAGTTTTTTGATAGTTTCATCTGCAGTAATTGATCGTTGCTGTAGTAGGAAAGAGTGTACATACAAGAATAAATGTTTAGTGACTCACTGTTGCAATCTTGAGATTTTCTTCAACTTTCTGTATCATGTCATCGAGTGCTTTCGTGTCTTTTGCCTCTTTCTCTTTCAATAGTTTTACTTCATCTTTAAGTGATTGTGATCTAAATGATAAATTAAAAATTATGTAAAATATTAACATGAGATTCATGTAAGATTCACCTTCCTTTTTCTTTTTTATAATTTTTTTCTAATTCAGTTACTTGCTTTTTTAAAACTTCATTCTCAGCTTTAACCTGTCACTAAGAATACAGGACCAGCCACTAATTGATCATTAAATACTTTATTCAATTCGTTCACTAGTTGATGTTGGGTTTCATCAGGTGCCAACATTGCAACCTCAGGAAATGGATTAATGTCTAAAATCCCTCCCTCCTCTTCCTCCTCCTCTCTCTCACTCCCTCCCAGTGGATCTGATAATGGTAATGGAGGTAATGTTGATGATCCTAACAACTCAATTTCATCTTCACTGCTAGAAGAGAAGAGGTCTTTTACTGGTTCTGTCTTTAGTCTGCTTGATGATGCTGCTTTAGTCTTTATTCCTACAGCCACTGGGACTGGATTCGGTGCCAATAATGGCAGACCCAGTTTCGTGGGTTCCGAGAGTGGATTCTCGTCTTCACTTGAAAATAAGCTGTCATCGTCACCGGAGTCTTTAGCCTTTTTGACAAAGTTTTTGAAAGAGAATGGATTAACGTCTAAAAATTAGAATTAATAGCACATATTAGAGCTCAATGCAGTTCTGTTTACCGGATGCAACAGAGCCAGGGGGAGGAAGGGAGTCAACGACAGTGGGAGGAGCTGAAGTCGCTGCTTCTCCTGTTTTCTTCTTTCTTTTAGAGCTCTCCTTTTTCTGTGGCTCGGAGCCCCCGCCCTGTCTCTTAGTCACAAAAGATTTAAAAGAAAAAGGATTGTCCTTGTCATTTTCTTTGGAGGCCATTTTCAGCCACGCCTCCTAAACACACCCCTGCTTAGGCTTGCTTTGGCATAATTATTATTCCATCAATTCATTGATTGCATTATGCTATTCTCTAGTGCTTCAGATATATGCCATTATGCTTACAATATTTATTGGCTATGCTTACAATTATTCTGAATGATTATTAAAATTATTATTTTAAAATAAAGAATTATTATTCATCACACATTATACTGTAACATCAAAGAACATTGTATGTACATAGTCTCCAAGAGAGTGACTTTGCTGAGGGCTAAATGGGCAGCCATGTTAACACTTAACATTCAGTACATGGTTGAAGTTAATTGACTATTCTGGAATAATGCTTAATTCCTAGTGTGGTTCATTATGCTCAATATTATGCTCGCCTAATAGTATTAGGCGAGCATAATATTAGCTAATACCTTAAGGTTACTTTTAAATGCGGGTGCAATTAATTGCGAATTTTGCGTTTGGGTTAAAAATCGCAATTATTAATATGCGCAATTATTAATAATGACATCATAATGCTATATAACTATTAGTAATAATTACTTAATCGCAATTTTTAATACCAGCAAAATTTACCTCGTGCTAAAATCGCAAAATTTAGTACCCGCAATTAAAAGTCAATCTAAGGTATGCTCAAGCCTACCCCTGCCGCAAACTTGCAGGCTTTTTTTACAAGATGGCTACTTTGTTGTTGTCCAGACGAGCTTGTACTCGCTTCTCTCTAGCCTCTACAGGCAGTAGAGCAGTAACTGCAGCAGGTTTGGGTCGTTTACTCTAATTAAATAATGTATTTCTCCTTTGCTTTAGCTGCTGCAAGTGAACAATACCCCCCAATGCCTCCATGTGATTTCAAGCCAGATCCATATACAGTTAGGCAATAAACTTTATTTCTATTTATTTTTTAAAATTTAATTATTTTTAATTTAATTATTGTTTTTATTTATTTATTATTTTTATTTGTTTTATTATTTTTATTTATTTTTTAATTTAATTATTGTTTTTATTTATTATTTTTATTTGTTTATTTATTTATTTTTTTCATTATTATTTATTTTTATTACCTTAAGCCTACTATTATTTGCTTCTACTAATTTTAGTGAAATCAGCAAAAATCATGTTTAGCGTTACTAATTTTAGCGTTTTTAACCAAATTAACTATAAATAATAACCATTATAATGAATGATAATTATTTTGGCGTCTATTTAATTTAGCGATTTAAAGCTCTCTCGCTAATATAGCTAAATTTAGTAGATGCTAAAAATAGTAGGCTTAAGGTA